CCATCTGAGAAGCCACCACTCAAGGACCCACATGACGTTGCTTTCGTGGTCGGTGAATGTATGGCATCATACGTCCTCTGAATGCGAGATAATCGCAATGCTGATCTGCCGTTTGGGGCCGAACGTTTATGTGTTGAAACTACCAGAGAGAATTCGCAGGTTCGAAATCCCCCAGAGTTTCGTGAGATGCGCACTACCGAGGATTTCTAGAAAGGCTGAAAAATCTGTACAGTGCTTCTCGGCTTTTCATCATAGATCAGCTTTACTCACGGAACGAAATCTCAACTGAAAGTTCCCACCTCTCCTCACACCGCCAACAATCAATTGTTCCTCGCAGTGGAACATCCGCAGATAAGAAATTAACGTCAATTGAAAACATTTTTATGGAGGCTACCGGTAAACTGTTAAGTGTATGATGATGCTTAACTTCAAATAATGGGAGCAAGAATGCCGACTAGCCAACGGTCAATTTTATGAAATACCTGAAATTAATCTCAACGGCAACTATGGTTTGTGAAATTTCGGTCAGCCCCAAATTTGTAATGCTTCGTTTCCGATCGGTTTGAAACGTTTGTACCGTGGCTCTGAGATGATCATATGTGGTTTGGGCGGTTGAAGCACCTAGTGAATTACCTAGACCAAAGCACTGCTTTCTTTAGTTGCATCCTTCTTAAAACCTCCAGTCATCTCCAAGGACCTCGATCACTTTGCTAGACATTCATTTCATGATAATTCCATTCAATTCGCTGTCTTTTTGCAAAATATCGAGTTATCCAGGGAGCGTAGAATCCTGAGAGATTGCTAGCGCTCAGGCATCCGACAATAAGATTGTTGCGCAGTAAAAGACAGAAATTTATTAATATATCCACCAAATGTACTTCGAAAAACCAAGCTGTCCACTCGCCATCAGAAAGAGAACGGTTAATTACCTGGCTTTATAGGTTCTCAGAGTGAACTTGAGTCAGCAGTTTGTTGAATTCTTTCAGAGGCATTGCATGCTTTGAACGCAGAGAAATAAATTTCAGTTGCGTTTTTATGAAAGTCTTAGGTGCTTAGTTAATGCAGTGGAAAACCGTAACTGGATGAAGAGGTGACAGGTAGATTTTTCTGGTTTCCCGAATATGTTTTGCCTGAGTCTTCTAAGGGGTTTCTATGCAAAAGTTTTCGAAGTTGATACGGCAGACCGAGGATAGGTGATTAAATAATTGTTAGCTGTTTGTGAAGCGGTACTGATTACAACACAGCAACCAACATTGTTCATAAAATTATCGAATCAAGCCATCTGCTTACTCTGGAGGTGAGTCACACTCCATAAGACCTCATGTGGTTTTCGATTTTTAATTTCTGTTACCATGCCTCTCGCCCATAAATGTAGGATGTTTTACATCATCGACTTAAAAAGAATAATTCGATATGCTAATCCCTCGAAATTTGTCTTATTAAAGTCTTAATGAAATGGACTTAGCTTCCAAAACCTGTTTTTATTATAGGGCATCTTAATTTATAAACGCGACTCGTGCCAAATCGCGGATTAATCAGCTGCCCAAGTAGACAAGCACAACTGTTGCATAGACTATTCTATCTCCTTAATAGGTCGCCTCATATATCGTATGTCGTAGCGACTGAAACATGACGCGGCCTGGTGCAGCACATTCATTTGCCTGGAAACGTCGCAAACGAGAGATTCAGCTGGGTTCCAGGTGAGTCACTCGAAAACACAAATAAGTTTACAAATGAGTGTATTTCGTTAATTTCGTGCAATTTGGTTTCAAGTAGAACATAAGGTTGACGGAAACTCGGGGACTGCGCCTACCTGATGAGCCTCAAGAAGGGTGAAACCGGTCGTGGGCTGTCGACGAAGTTTCAGCAACCTTATGAGTAGTGCATTACGAATATATACATGTATCGCGATATCAGGAATATCGTGGTGACTGAAACATGAGGCGGTCTGGTGCAGCACATTCATTTGCCTGGAAACGTCGCAAACGAGAGATTCAGCTGGGTTCCAGGTGAGTCTCTCGCAAAACCAAATTAGTTTGCAGATGAGTGTATTTCGGTAGATGACGATTTCTTTTGAGGAAGTGGGACCGTATGAGAGGACATGGAGGGTGGTGGCTATCTCGAATTTCCAATCATGTTGTTTACTTTTAAAATGGAGGGCTCCGCCTGAGAGACTGGCAGTTTCTGAAAGGACCAGAGCAGATCGCATCTCATGCATACTGTTGTTGCAAAATCCTCAAAAGAACTTTCTGAGAAAAAATTTTTGGAACCGATTGAGAAGTCATCTCAATTAACGTGTCGGCTAGTGTGGGTGCCAAAATCTTGAATCGATGTGTTGGAGGGTTCCAAATTAGTTCCGATCGCTTTCCGTTCCTTTCCTTACCACTTCAGAATGCTTCACCTGATGATTCGCCTCGGGTGCCGCTGTTAGATTTTCCTTAGTTTTTGTGGGGTTGTGAGTGTCCCGACAATTTAGTTTGAGGGGGGTTGAGGTCAAGTGGAATCCAAGTGATGACTACTCTTCCTACTGATGACCGCACACCAACACGTGTCAGCTCGAGTGACCCAAGACCGTTCTCCACACGCTAGCCAGTTCTACGCCTTTCATTCTGTTGACGCTGGGATGCTTGGCGATTTCTACCGCCTCGGCGATCAGTCTGTGTGACGTGGACCGTAGTCCTCGCCTCAAAACCTCAACATTTTCTAAATCTATTTTGTGTCCTGTGTCTAGTGCGTGTTCCGCAATCGCCGAGTCTTTCAGTAACGCTTGATATTCATCTGCGTTTCTCGGCGGCCTGTCTATTTTTCTACTATGCTCTCCGACTCTGATGTATAGTTCCCTGGCCGTCTGTCCTATATAGACTTTGATGCAGTCATTACACTTGATTTTGTAGACACAGTCCCTGGTTCTGTTTGCCGGGAGGCGATCCTTCAATTGCACCAATGCAGAGCGCAGAGTGTTCCCCCTCTGGAAAGCTACTCTAATGTTGGCCATGTTTAGAATTCTTCGAATTGCCTCCGATGTCCCTGGTTTATATGGAATAACAGCTGTCCCAATCCATTCCCTGTTGGGTTTCTCTACCGGTATCAACACCCTTCGCAATTGACGCCTAATCAAGCTAGCTGGATATCCACTACCCCGAAGTTTGTTTTTTACCTCAATTTGGGCCGCTGTTCGATCGGCTTCTTCTGTGCACAGGGCCCTTACACGCCTAAACATTGATGACGCAATACTGGCGAATACCGACTTCGGATGGGCAGACGAGTAGTTCAAAACTGCCCCAGTGTCGGTTGGCTTTTCATACACTGTGGTCTTTAGTCTCCCCCCAACCTTATGTGTCATGCAGTCTAAGAAGGCCAGTTTACCCGATGTTGACTCTATCTCCATACTAAATTTGATCTGTGGACTCAGTTCATTCAGATAATTGTAAAACTCATTAACCTTGTCCCGTTTCATGACGACGAAAGTGTCATCTACATACCGCCAGAATATCTTTGGTGGGTGTGGGAATCCGGCTAAAGCTCTCTGTTCAAATTCTTCCATAAATATATTTGCCAAAACCGGGGATATTGGAGATCCCATTGCTAGACCTTGCTCTTGAGTATAAACCACTGAGTCAAATACGAAGTGGGTGAGATTCAGACATGCTTTTATGCCTTCCACTATCTCATCTACCGTAAGCTGTGTCCGTTCCGAAAGGGTGGTGTCCGCTAACAGCAGTCGCTTGGCTATTTCTAAAGAGTCCCCTTTTGGCACATTTGTATATAACGAATTCACATCGAAACTTACAAGGATGTCATCCGGTTCAACAGTGACACCCGCTACTTTGTTGGCGAAGTCATATGAATTTTTAATGTAAGTACTAGATTTCCCGGTTAGGGGTTTTAAAATACCGGCCAAGAATCTGGCCAGTTCATGCGGTGGGGAACCTATTCCGTCTACTATCGGTCTCACTGGGACCTCTGGTTTATGGATTTTTGGAAGGCCATAAAGTCGTGGTTGGATTGCACTTTTGGGGTACAATCGATACCAGTTGCCTTGCCCTAAGTGGTTTATCACGGACCGCAGATATCTTCCAACTTCGGCTTTACTCTTATTCATTATAGACGTAATATTCGCATTGTTGATCTCCCGATAAGGACCCTCAGCTAGGTGTTGCTTAACCTTTTGTAAATAATCACTCTTGTTCATAACAACTGTGGCCTTACCCTTATCCGCCTTTGTAATCACTATGTTGTCCACCCGTTTTAGGGTGTTTAAAGCTCTTCGCTCTGCTGATGTAATATTTGGAGCTCCTGGCTGCTGGGACTTAAGGACTGTGATTAGCTGTACCCGTAGCCTCTCTGCCTCCATTGACGGAAGTTTTTGAAACACAGATTCAACGCTAGGGATTATTTCTTCGGCCCTTATCACCCTTTTGCTCACTGCGAAATTCAAGCCTTTCTCTAGCAGAGTGCGCTCTTCCTCACTTAACGGTCTATTTGATAAATTTACCACGCTACAATAGCTAGTAGGTGGTTCAGGCCTAGTCATGGGCTCCCTTGAAATCCGAGTCTTAGAAAGCAACATTTCGAACTTACGTATTTGTCTCTCTTTGCAATGTTGTCCTTGGATAGCTTTCACTTCTGTCGCTTTGGTTTGGAGCAACTGGAAGTCTGCGGGAGAGAGCACGGTCTGAAGATCTTGGTTCAGCCGACATGAGTGGTGACGGATATCAGATAGACGCCGAGTAGTCAAGTAGATCCTCTGTTTCAGGAATGACTTGGCCGCTGAGAATGCTATTCGGGCAGAAACGAGTGACGTGTCCGGTGGCTTAACCAGTAACGATGTAGGGATTATGTTGTGTTTCAAGCAGCGTTTATTGAATATGCGGTGGTTCTCCCAGTTTGCCTCTAGCCTTGCCAATCGAACGTAGTCACTGGACAATTTGCGAACACATGGTCCGTAGTTGTTTTCAATCAATTGGAAAAAGTTTGGAACCGATTGAGAAGTCATCATTTCAGAAGAGCTTGGTAAACAATCGGTAGTTTTTATTTGGGCAACGTTTCGCTTTTGACACAAAAGCTTCATCAGGCCAAGTGAACAGGTCACAAAATTGGCCAGGTTATAAGACAGACGGGGAACCAATCAGTAAGTTCTCTTCAGACTAAATCAGTGTTGAGTGTCAATTAACGGCTCTTGTCGGCTAGTGTGGGTGCCAAAATCTTGAATCGATGTGTTGGAGGGTTCCAAATTAGTTCCGATCGCTTTCCGTTCCTTAATCTTCCACTTCAGAATGCTTCACCTGATGATTCGCCTCGGGTGCCGCTGTTAGATTTTCCTTAGTCTTTGTGGGGTTGTGAGTGTTCCGACAATTTAGTTTGAGGGGGGTTGAGGTCAAGTGGAATCCAAGTGATGACTACTCTTCCTACTGATGACCGCACACCAACACGTGTCAGCTCGAGTGACCCAAGACCGTTCTCCACACGCTAGCCAGTTCTACGCCTTTCATTCTGTTGACGCTGGGATGCTTGGCGATTTCTACCGCCTCGGCGATCAGTCTGTGTGACGTGGACCGTAGTCCTCGCCTCAAAACCTCAACATTTTCTAAATCTATTTTGTGTCCTGTGTCTAGTGCGTGTTCCGCAATCGCCGAGTCTTTCAGTAACGCTTGATATTCATCTGCGTTTCTCGGCGGCCTGTTTATTTTTCTACTATGCTCTCCGACTCTGATGTATAGTTCCCTGGCCGTCTGTCCTATATAGACTTTGATGCAGTCATTACACTTGATTTTGTAGACACAGTCCCTGGTTCTGTTTGCCGGGAGGCGATCCTTCAATTGCACCAATGCAGAGCGCAGAGTGTTCCCCCTCTGGAAAGCTACTCTAATGTTGGCCATGTTTAGAATTCTTCGAATTGCCTCCGATGTCCCTGGTTTATATGGAATAACAGCTGTCCCAATCCATTCCCTGTTGGGTTTCTCTACCGGTATCAACACCCTTCGCAATTGACGCCTAATCAAGCTAGCTGGATATCCACTACCCCGAAGTTTGTTTTTTACCTCAATTTGGGCCGCTGTTCGATCGGCTTCTTCTGTGCACAGGGCCCTTACACGCCTAAACATTGATGACGCAATACTGGCGAATACCGACTTCGGATGGGCAGACGAGTAGTTCAAAACTGCCCCAGTGTCGGTTGGCTTTTCATACACTGTGGTCTTTAGTCTCCCCCCAACCTTATGTGTCATGCAGTCTAAGAAGGCCAGTTTACCCGATGTTGACTCTATCTCCATACTAAATTTGATCTGTGGACTCAGTTCATTCAGATAATTGTAAAACTCATTAACCTTGTCCCGTTTCATGACGACGAAAGTGTCATCTACATACCGCCAGAATATCTTTGGTGGGTGTGGGAATCCGGCTAAAGCTCTCTGTTCAAATTCTTCCATAAATATATTTGCCAAAACCGGGGATATTGGAGATCCCATTGCTAGACCTTGCTCTTGAGTATAAACCACTGAGTCAAATACGAAGTGGGTGAGATTCAGACATGCTTTTATGCCTTCCACTATCTCATCTACCGTAAGCTGTGTCCGTTCCGAAAGGGTGGTGTCCGCTAACAGCAGTCGCTTGGCTATTTCTAAAGAGTCCCCTTTTGGCACATTTGTATATAACGAATTCACATCGAAACTTACAAGGATGTCATCCGGTTCAACAGTGACACCCGCTACTTTGTTGGCGAAGTCATATGAATTTTTAATGTAAGTACTAGATTTCCCGGTTAGGGGTTTTAAAATACCGGCCAAGAATCTGGCCAGTTCATGCGGTGGGGAACCTATTCCGTCTACTATCGGTCTCACTGGGACCTCTGGTTTATGGATTTTTGGAAGGCCATAAAGTCGTGGTTGGATTGCACTTTTGGGGTACAATCGATACCAGTTGCCTTGCCCTAAGTGGTTTATCACGGACCGCAGATATCTTCCAACTTCGGCTTTACTCTTATTCATTATAGACGTAATATTCGCATTGTTGATCTCCCGATAAGGACCCTCAGCTAGGTGTTGCTTAACCTTTTGTAAATAATCACTCTTGTTCATAACAACTGTGGCCTTACCCTTATCCGCCTTTGTAATCACTATGTTGTCCACCCGTTTTAGGGTGTTTAAAGCTCTTCGCTCTGCTGATGTAATATTTGGAGCTCCTGGCTGCTGGGACTTAAGGACTGTGATTAGCTGTACCCGTAGCCTCTCTGCCTCCATTGACGGAAGTTTTTGAAACACAGATTCAACGCTAGGGATTATTTCTTCGGCCCTTATCACCCTTTTGCTCACTGCGAAATTCAAGCCTTTCTCTAGCAGAGTGCGCTCTTCCTCACTTAACGGTCTATTTGATAAATTTACCACGCTACAATAGCTAGTAGGTGGTTCAGGCCTAGTCATGGGCTCCCTTGAAATCCGAGTCTTAGAAAGCAACATTTCGAACTTACGTATTTGTCTCTCTTTGCAATGTTGTCCTTGGATAGCTTTCACTTCTGTCGCTTTGGTTTGGAGCAACTGGAAGTCTGCGGGAGAGAGCACGGTCTGAAGATCTTGGTTCAGCCGACATGAGTGGTGACGGATATCAGATAGACGCCGAGTAGTCAAGTAGATCCTCTGTTTCAGGAATGACTTGGCCGCTGAGAATGCTATTCGGGCAGAAACGAGTGACGTGTCCGGTGGCTTAACCAGTAACGATGTAGGGATTATGTTGTGTTTCAAGCAGCGTTTATTGAATATGCGGTGGTTCTCCCAGTTTGCCTCTAGCCTTGCCAATCGAACGTAGTCACTGGACAATTTGCGAACACATGGTCCGTAGTTGTTTTCAATCAATTGGAAAAAGTTTGGAACCGATTGAGAAGTCATCATTTCAGAAGAGCTTGGTAAACAATCGGTAGTTTTTATTTGGGCAACGTTTCGCTTTTGACACAAAAGCTTCATCAGGCCAAGTGAACAGGTCACAAAATTGGCCAGGTTATAAGACAGACGGGGAACCAATCAGTAAGTTCTCTTCAGACTAAATCAGTGTTGAGTGTCAATTAACGGCTCTTGTCGGCTAGTGTGGGTGCCAAAATCTTGAATCGATGTGTTGGAGGGTTCCAAATTAGTTCCGATCGCTTTCCGTTCCTTAATCTTCCACTTCAGAATGCTTCACCTGATGATTCGCCTCGGGTGCCGCTGTTAGATTTTCCTTAGTCTTTGTGGGGTTGTGAGTGTTCCGACAATTTAGTTTGAGGGGGGTTGAGGTCAAGTGGAATCCAAGTGATGACTACTCTTCCTACTGATGACCGCACACCAACACGTGTCAGCTCGAGTGACCCAAGACCGTTCTCCACACGCTAGCCAGTTCTACGCCTTTCATTCTGTTGACGCTGGGATGCTTGGCGATTTCTACCGCCTCGGCGATCAGTCTGTGTGACGTGGACCGTAGTCCTCGCCTCAAAACCTCAACATTTTCTAAATCTATTTTGTGTCCTGTGTCTAGTGCGTGTTCCGCAATCGCCGAGTCTTTCAGTAACGCTTGATATTCATCTGCGTTTCTCGGCGGCCTGTTTATTTTTCTACTATGCTCTCCGACTCTGATGTATAGTTCCCTGGCCGTCTGTCCTATATAGACTTTGGTGCAGTCATTACACTTGATTTTGTAGACACAGTCCCTGGTTCTGTTTGCCGGGAGGCGATCCTTCAATTGCACCAATGCAGAGCGCAGAGTGTTCCCCCTCTGGAAAGCTACTCTAATGTTGGCCATGTTTAGAATTCTTCGAATTGCCTCCGATGTCCCTGGTTTATATGGAATAACAGCTGTCCCAATCCATTCCCTGTTGGGTTTCTCTACCGGTATCAACACCCTTCGCAATTGACGCCTAATCAAGCTAGCTGGATATCCACTACCCCGAAGTTTGTTTTTTACCTCAATTTGGGCCGCTGTTCGATCGGCTTCTTCTGTGCACAGGGCCCTTACACGCCTAAACTTTCTGAGAAGACTACCCCAATTTTTTTCATTCAAAGAACTAAATGTGAGTATTGATAAATTAATCCTCATTCTCACGTCAGAGTAACCCAACCTCCAAGCTGCATAAAGGGATTACTGCGATAGTCTTGATCACGGTTACTTTTTGGGATGATGCTACCGGCAACTCACGGTTGTTTTACTATTCTCATTTTTTAAGATCTGTCACTTGGATTTAGACAGTGCAGTGAAATTCATCGCGCAACTTCTGGGGTTTATGTAGCCATGTTACTCTCTTTAGACTGTAGTCCTGAAGCATCCGAGGCGGAAAACCTGGAGTAACGTACTTCAACGCCGTTTTTACAGAAAGCGTTTACTATGTCTCCTCGTCGTCTGTGCCTAGTTAAGTAATATATGGTTTGTTTTTTGTATGACCGAGAGTTTCTCCCTACTGAACGATCTAGTCAAAGTTTACCTCTTCTCTTTGTGTGACAAACAGATAATCCATTAACCAGCTAGTCAAAGACCCAAATGATACCCATAGAGGCAGTGCTCAAAACGGCAATTATCGGTCACCAAACAACGGATGGCAATCAATAGGCTCAATTGACAAACCGATTAGGCTCACAAAACCTATGCTTCTTCTCTCTCCCTCACCACCTTCTCTCCTCACACCCCGCTATAAGCCCCACTTTATCTTCTGCCGCAGCGCAAGAGGACTGGAGACATCTGTAATAGATTGTCATCACAAATGAAACCTCGGTGCGGTTCAATGCAAGCAACCAGTCTTGCTGGTCTGTAATCGCATGTGTAAGACCGTCAGTTTGACCGAATTCTCGGGCTTTGTTCACACAACTATCTAATTAACTACCTCCCGGTTGCCCACCACAATTTCGGTTGACTGAGGTAAGGACGTCTGTTTGCGTTCATTAGGAATAGAACAGTGTTGAGTGAGTCAGGTGACCAGCTCGCAGTGGTGGTAGAATAATTGGAAACGATTGCGCCTTATCACCAGGGTAACTAAGAAAGCCTTGGTTGTTTAACAGATGTTGAAAAATTTAGATCGTTTTCTGTTCTCGAATATGGTTAATTAAGTTTCTGTATTAAGGATGATGGCATGTCACCGCCTTGAATATTTAGCTTAGAAAGGAAGCACCGTGACGGATAGGCAGAGAAAAGTTAACAAAGATTTGGTGGTTAGAAGATTCAGGCTAGATTTTTGTTCTGTAAAAAATTGAGTGAGACATTGCAGTTAACCTGGTACACATGATCCAATTGTACATTTTGTTCTTTTCTGTAGGAATTTGAGTTTTCGATATTGATTTCTACTTTTGTTTATTCATCAACGCGCGTTTCAGTGGACAAATTTTACACCAGTGCGATAATGTCATCGATTGATGGAGATCCAAGTCGCCATCTGAAATAGTGTCAGATAATTTGGGACGTATTTATTGCTGCTTATTCAAGCCACATGTTGGATTTAGCTTAAAATGGAACACGAGTAATTATCGCGCCTCTCCGTCTGCGATGGACCGTTTCACAAAGTATCAGGGATGTATTGCTGATATCTACTGATATCCGTTTGCATAGTACTCTCGAAAAAGCTATCTATGGGCAGTAAACAGCATGCTTAGTGTGGGTACTTTACTCATGATGTTTGAACTCCCTTTTGAAAGTTAGTCTTGGATAGACGCGCACTAGAATATTCGCAGCATTTTCCGTTTCCGTCCAGAGATACGATGCATTAGGAGCTATCAGCCTTTTCATTGCTAGTGAACATTTAAAGTTACGGTTACATTTTAGAGACGATAGCCCAGGCGATTGATCAATGCCAACATGTGACGGTTTACCACTTGAGTGTGGATTAGAAGAGCTAGGATTTGAAAGTGATAGTTTCGGTTGCGTTTTCGGGCCGTTGGAGACCTGCCGAACTCAGGATCCTAAACCGACGAGACCGTCAATGTGACAAACGTTTGTTGGTCAAGGCAAACTTCATTTCCAATCCTTCCGTCCAACAGATGGCTGAGCCGTCAACCTTATGTTCTACTTGAACCTAAATAAATCAGATTTCGGCAGATACACTCATTTGCATACCGGATAAACGCCAAAAGGTGCTAAGAGCTGGATAATTTAAGATAACCCCGATTAATGAGGTTGTTGCTTGTGTCTTCGTGCATATCCTACAGATGTCAAACTATCCAGAATCGTGCGGGGCCTACATACAACTGGACAGGGGAATTTCAATATCGTGGAGGTGAAGACCACTGATATATGGTGGAGCTGAGGAAGAAAGCCATTAGCAAGCCAAAGATGATCGTGTAAAGCGCCATAGGTGTCAAATACGTCGAGTGCTTGCTTTGGATATGCCTTAATAATCTGTCATTCAGTTTGTAACATCGTATTTTGGGGGTTTTGCGAGCATTCTAGACAATCAATTCAGTGAACAGCTGCATTAGGTAAAATGTTCAAAGGCCTAATTTGGATAAGCGTTGCGGAAACTGAGAAAAAACGGATGAACTTATTAGCGTTTAGCAAGATTCTTATTGGTTTCCATTGCTAGAAAATCCATCTTGTCTGAAGTTCCGCTGCCCTTGAAAGCTGCAGACACAAAACCGAGACGAATAACACACATTCAATCAAAATATATGCCCAAAACAAGTTCGCAAATTTCCGGGTTTTCCATTCAGCAACCTAACAAACACTGCAATATACGGGACAAAGTGGGATGAATGGAAATAAAGATGGGATTGCGGACCATTCGTGTCACCGTTGTCTAAGTTTGACAACCAGTTGCAACACATGGAGAGACAGAAATGATATTGGTCCTGAAACACTCCAGTCATTCAATCCCCATCCAACGTGGTACAGTGTGATAGGGAAAGCTGTTGGGAGCAAGGAATGGGACGGTGATTATCTCTGAACAGATCGTTCTGTGTCCACCATCGAATGATGATGAATCAAAAGGTGTGTTTGTCTGTGATAGGAGATTGAATTTTCTTGTCTACCCGAACACACCTCTAGCAGCCTAATCAGATCTAGAGATCTCAATTCATCTGGGGTAAACAGACCAAAATATTCTGCATGCTACGTGAAACACACGTGCTCAGCTTCAAACGGAAAATAGTATGACAAAGAAGGCGGCAGCTGCTAACGAATTCAGCTGACCGATGCCTAGAATGCACCAAGAATGTTGTTGTTGGCAAAGCATACCACCTTTATGGACGGTAACCTGTCATTCGAGAGGCGTTATCCCCTCTATCTAGCGATTCCTTCTCTACTAGGAGTGACTTTGACAAGAGGTAGGCTGTTGCAGCGGTTTTCTTACTTTTTGTTCTCCCAATAGATCCACTTATTTTTACACCCTCAATCATCGTTGTGGAGAAAAAAGAACAAACTGTTAAGACGACAGAATTCTATTTCTTATCCATTTTGTTCCACTCGTAATATGCAAAACATGTTTTGGCACTGTTGCGCTTTCAACCGACAAAAATGTTTCCAAAGTTTTTTGGTCGAACAATCGCGACGAAATGTGTAGAAAACTAAGATAAACAATTAAGCACTCAGTATCTTCCGTTTTAGTGAGAAGATTCACACGCACATTTTACTGGGCATGCAAATAATATATTTTGTTTGACGAAGTACGCTCGCTTGTAAGTCAGTTGGGCGTTATAAGAAGACCCAATGGAGTCACAGCTGAATCCCCCATTTATCCTAATCCTCAACAAAGGATGCTGTGAGAATGTCGCTTCATTTTTCAATTGGTACAATTTCGATACATCGCAGTGTTATAAATGTTCTGTCAAGAAGACACGCTTTTTGCATGTGAAGCAAGAATGAAGACCTGGTTTCATCCGTTAAGCGTAGTTGCAAATGCCATTTGTCTAATGAGGTCCATCCAGCCGAGAAATTAAACATCTCCAATTGAAAGCAGAGCATTTTCCCAGAAAACTTGCCTAAATTAGTTAAAATACTTACGTAGTCGATGACTCAACGAAATCCTTCAGCATCGCCTCCAGCAACAGGGACTTCTAATTAGTGTGAGAACGGATTTCTGATCTGGACAGCACACAGTCGTAGATTAAGGTAAAGGTGCGGTCGGACGCTAAAAGCCTCATCCACACGAACACTTTCTATTTATTGAGGTTAACCCGGTAAGCGCAGCGGACACGTGGCAGCCACAGTTTCACAACGTAGCCCTCGGATATCGTCTCAATAAAGAATGCGGTATTTGACCATACCTTCATCTCCAAGTGTATGGTTTGGTTGTTGTGGAACCCTTCTCGAGGACTGATGACTAATCAGAGAGAACTTCACGACCATTTTCTAGTAGTCAAATTATTTTCTGTATTGGTCATGGGCTCCATAGTCGGTACTGACAATGGGCACAACCGGGTCGGCGTTGGAGACCTCGAGTGGACCCATTTTTGAGCTCAAAATACAGATATGTCCGCATGTGAGAGTTCAGATTCTTCAGCATGCGCTGGTGGAGTTGACGTGACGCGTTTATCTCGCATGTCACAGATCCGGAGGTCTAAGTCAACACTGTGAAGAAGAGATAGTGATGTTGAGCTTCAGCAGGAAAAGAACTTGAGTCCATTACTTCACGCTATTTGAGTCCGATTGACCAAACTAATCACCTCAAGAAAGGACTATCCTAACGAGCAAAGCGAACAAAATAGGTGTCAGTCCACAATTCAGTCAATGAGCATCATGGAACCCTAATGGAGCAGGCAACTCTAATTTTGTTCGTGGTCCTTTCTCAACCTGATGGTTGCGATGCATAGAAGGACTCAGCGGTGTTTTACGTTTCAATCACCATTAGATGCACCGGACTAGGACCCGTTTGTCCAAGCGACAGTTCGAGGAAGAGAAGACTGGGCCAACTCTACAAAACTGACAGTTTCTGCTACGAAGACTCAGAAAAACGTCACTGCGACACTGATTCGTACTTATTAATCGGCCAGCATTTTTTCCAACACAACGAAATTACCATGACCAGCAAGTAGGGAAACTTGATTTCCACTTCCACTTCACAAATGTGTTGTCCATGCTGAGGTTACGGAAAGATTTCTTACAGAACGGCTGAACACTGTTTCTCACGTTCTCTCCGATTATTCTTACGCGACTGGACCACAGCCGTTGTGTTCACCGGGGGGAATCCCACTACGGTCACTCTTTTCTCTGAATACGTCAACTAATCTTTGACACGGAATCCTTGAAACTGGAACGTAAATAAACAAATCTGATTTCGCCCACGGTTTCCCAATATCTGACAATAAGCAAAATTGACAACACAATCTGGGGTTGCGAAGTGCTGGTTGATGGGTTACTCTGTTGAGCCCAAAACTCTTAGTACTCAAACCACTAAATTTGTGATATTCGGTCCTGAGATCAAGAACAGACCGCGACTGTTGGTTACCACATGAGTGTAAGTTGAAACAGTTCGATGGACACATCACTCAGCTCATGTAGAACGTGACGAGTGGGTAATCACTATTCAGGTTTGAGCGAAGACACGCACTGACCATATATAAACGGGGTGAAATGAACAGACGATTGCAAATAAGATGGACCAATCAAGCATGACTATCCCAACGATACAGTCTGGGAGAACGGGACTGGTATGTGCACCTCTCAGGTAGATAATAGGTTCATTCACATCATCACAGGCTCAAAGGTGAGCAGAAACACTGCGGTAGCTCTACGATAGCTTTACCAAAGGAAAAGCACAGATAGCAACTGAGATGTAAAGTGGTTATTGCAAACCTTAGTACGCCTAGAAACTCTGGGATCTTGAATACCCTACTTAGGACCGAAAATATCATATTCCAGCGGGATAACCTCCGTATTTTGTGACTCAAGTTCCCAAATATACGTGGAGTCGAAGTGCTCACAGTTCGGATCTGAAATCCGCTGTGTTTGGGGGACGATGGTGGCTGACTCAATGGTAACCTAGGAAAAACCTCGCTCCGTTGCTGTTAGCTGGCAGTGACGGGTTTATTCGTATTTCACAGCAGCATTCCAAATTCGACGACTGAGTTGAAAGATAGTGAAGAAAAGATAGACAAATGCCCAACGATACACCACTATCAATGAGAGGCGATCCGAATGTCTGGATCGAAACTAACGGTGTTGTGTTATGAGGAGAATCGGATGTCAACTGGTTTCCTACGGAATCAGGCACGAAGTTAATGAAACAAAACAACCTCGGACAAACTAACAACGAAAGGGGGGATATTCCGTTGATTCATGCAGGTTGGCTGGATCATGAGCGATTGATTTTAGCCTTGAATAGATGCACTGCTTACTTTAGCCGTGCATTAATTGTCATCAATCAAGCTACCCAACCGGAACGGTCGGAATAAGTTATGGCTTCGTAACCCACTGTCCGCGCAGATATTTTAAACATGCGCGTGGCCGTCTGGTATGGGGTAGATGTCAACCATAAGGTCACGTGACTGACCTTACAAAGTCCTCGCGGTCAGTCCCCTACCTGGAAAGGACCACTCTTTTTAGACCAATTACCAGGAAAAACCAAACATAGTACAGCTGTGAGTGTAATAATCGTACGAATTGTAATCACAATTATGACAATACGGATGTACAAATGAATCTGAAGGCAGCTGTGGCAAGCCACAGAATGGATGATAGTCTGTTGATCTGGCCACTGCCAAATGTAGATACAATTTGGAAGGTTGACCTGTACAAATACTGCGTAATTCTGAACAGGCAGAGGAAAATAGCAAACAGTCCCAAGTTCGCATATATGTGCAGATTACCAACATATAGATCTAGGAGCCGGTGTTGCGTCAAAGTCAATCATATAGGCATCATTGGATGTGGTTGTGGAAGCGAAGCCTGTGGTAACACTTGACCCGGAAACAATTCAGCACGTGGCCAGCCAGGCTGGGGCTGGCTGACTAGAGGATGGAGAGAAGACAATGGGGCCTTTGAGGGACCACCGTTCATCACCGGTAAGAAAGGAGTAAAACGTTGTGGGCTGGTGGGAAATTCAAAACCACCGCCTCCCTGAAGTTCATTCGGCGAGCAAAATAGAACGGGAGGACAGAAAATAAGTTGCTGCTGTGGCGATGATTGAGGTGTAGTTTGCAGTTGCAATGGCTGGTCGACAGCACCACCAGGAGGATACACGGGTCCCGGACAGGGGATCGTGTTGATCAATGACGTAGTCGTAGGCAAGACATAATCTACATTGGGCCGAGTGGGGTATTGGGGGAGTTCACATAATGGAAGCATGTACTGAGTTTGGGGGTCATGGAATCCGTTGGAAAGGCTAGTACAGACAGCATTCGAAGGGCCCGGGATGAAACTGACAGCGCTGCGAGTAAAATCACCGCCCGCGTGAGATGAAATTAGAGAAGCATTGATCGTATCGGTACAGGGAGAATTGAACATAGTGGGTGACTGGAAAGATGTGCTGAAGAAAGAGGGATTCGGTGCTACAGATGAAGGTGGTTCAGTGGCATGATCCATTGAAATCTGATTTAGTTCAAAGTTTGTGTTTGGGGGAGGAAAAACATCTGGCGGACAAGACATAGGCTGCAACTGAGAACTGAGGAGCATTTGTGATTGCGCAGGCTGAGATAAAACACATGGGTATGTACACGGGATGCTAGAGACTGATGCTTCCAAAAACGGTGGCATGTGTGCAGTGGTAACTGTGGACGAAGGATGATAGGTCTTTTCTAAACAAACAGATTGTGATTCAGCTTGTAAGTTATACGGCATAGTGTAGGAGTTATAGGATGTCTGTCCCATCTGTGGCGCAAACAAATTAGAGCCATCGGGTTGAGCGTAGACTTCGACCTGACGAAAGCAGGTCATGTTGTTCGTAGAAACGGTCGGCAGTTGACCAGGGGTAGATGGACACAATTGAGAAGAATCAACAGATTGGAAGGAGGGCACAGCAGTGCTTAATAGCGCTGGACTTTGTGATAGTGGAACAGGATGATAGTTGTGTAAAACAGCGGCTGGCTGGATGGGAAAATTTGGTGGATTTGATTGTACGGAAGGTGCAAGAGAATATGTGAATCTAGAACACTGTCCATCACCATTGACAGAAACATTTGTTAGTGGTGAAAAAGCTACAGGAGCTTGGTACCGGTTTGATGGACTGAGTGGCAACGTATGAGATGGAGCAGGTTGTATGGTTTTGTTGGAGTTACGTCGGATACGGCGTTTGCTAGACTGTGCAAGGGAGTTAACCGATTTTCGAGGCAGAGAATGTGCTAGATTTACTGAAGACGGATGACTTGAACGAGATGGTGGTGCGGAAGTAGCTACCTGGTAGGAAATTGCTGAACTGTTCGGCGACAAGTAGTGAGTCGACGGGTCATAAGCTGACCCAGAGACCACGCAACTAACAATGCTTGAAGGCAGAGACGGAAAAGTGATGAAGTCTGTGTCTGCAGGTGGTGAGATTCGACGGTGGAATGAAATGTGAGGGTTATCGATTGAAGGAAGAGAAGTACAACCAGACTGGAACGAGGAGGATGAGTTTGATAGCAACTGGTTTGCATCAGGGGAGACAAACTCAGAGGACTCGGAGGACCTGTCTGTCCTTTCATCCAATTGCTGATCTGATTCCGGAGTATAGCTAAGCGGTGTATTCGTTTGCAGCTGAAGGCAACGTTCAGTGGACCCATTGAAATCGTCTCGCACTGAAGCAAGGGTTTTCAAATGACTTGAAGAAGATAGAGGCACGGCGGTTTGGCCGCATAGGGTGCTCTTGTCCTGAAGAGTGAAAAATGGAGAATGTGGTGATGCAATCTGTAGAGTTGGAGATGTTACACCAATAGTTGGGGAGGGTAACGGTGTCTGCCTTTGGACGACAGGACTCTGATAATTTGCCATCTGGTCAGAAGCGTCAGAAGTGAATTTTTGCACAGAAAGTGGGGAAACTTTTGAAGGAAGGCAGCCGGTATTCTGGTCCATCGAGAGACGACGGGGTTGGTGCACCACATACGAAGAGAACTCTGAGGAAAAGGTTTGGGAAGCTGGTAATGACCGTGAGGTACCAATAACGGTAGTTATCTCGAGTGCTGCAGGCAGGTCCACAGTTGGGATATCAAAGTGGTCGAGTTCACGAGGAGAAAATGGATATCGAACTCCAACTGCATATGCAACCAGTGGCTTCTGTGTACATGTTGCGCGAAATACTGTGCTCAGTACTTGAGTAGAGGCCAACGCGACTGTTCGCTCAGCTGACAACTGTAGGTTCTCCCACGTATCGCAGAGTTCTTGAAGAGGTACATTGACAACCGCACGAGGAACAACAGATTGGTTAGCACAGCTCGGTAAATGTTCCTCATCAATAAAAGGTAGCATGGGGAATACAGATTCGGCAATAAGAGATTCCCAGTTCACCTGCACTGCCAATTTAAGCTCACTCTCAGAATGAACACATGAAGGTTCCTCGTCTACGAAAGAATCAGGAGTCGCATTCGATGTTGACTGACTCTGCGGCTCAAGTTGTCCGGGATGATTGTCACTAAGCGGATGGAAATTAATCACGCTATGGGAGCACGACTCTGAGAGGGATATACTGCGATCAGGAGATGGGATTCGCGATCGCGCAGTGCTTAGGTCGCACAAAAGACTGAAACCAGACAGAAGCGAAGGACAACTGTTTTCGCGTTGTGTGAGCATTGGAGAGTCTGGGAACAATGCGTATGGAATATGCGGCTCCGAACAACGGCGAAAGCGAGAGCAATGGTGTAATAATCTGGAGCGGTCATCTTTGAAAGTAAATGCAGTGGTTAAAGTCGTGCTGAATAGATCGCAATCCTCGTCATCTGATAGCAGAGGAGGACTGGGTGTCACCAACCGCATCGCTATCGTCTCTTCACTACTGTGCCTGGTGAAGGCTGGTGAAGGCCAGTGCGGGAGTGTTGCAGAGTCAGAGGAGGATTCAGCTGAACGGCTAGCATCCACTAGTGGTGCGTCAAGTTCCATAGTATCTTCATCACCATCCTGATACATCGGGATGGTTGTCAACGAAGAAGTTTCACTGCAATCAGTCAGTTCCACCTTAGACAGTGTCTTTAACCCTACAGGATAAGAATCTCCGTGTTGAACAGCGATACCTGCGAGTAACGCCCCTGGTAATTCTCTGGAACCACATGAATCCATGGCTGTAGAGAGGGAGAACAATGACAAGAATGAATAGGAATAACGACCAAATGAATGAAGGTGAATGTCAACGACAGAAACTGTTGCGACCACCGAGTATGAAACGGAAAAGTCCTGCTGTGGTCTGTGTAACGAAGTACGAAATGACACAGGGCAACAGGAACAGCGTGGCTTACGATAATCACCATAAACCTTAGGGCAAAGGTGTGCTATTCACCTAACGCTGGTCGTTGGCTTGTTCGCTGAGCTGGGCAATTTGGTTGCAAACGTTTCATCACTAATCGGGGTGACATCATCATTGCGTAGTTGTGCGTAGCGGTGGGTTAGTGGTTGTGCCTAACGCTGCTCTATAGTTCCGGAGATAGCTCAGTGGTTAAGGTGCGAACTTACTGACCAAAAGGTTTGTGGTTCGAACCCAAGCTCTGAATCCGGACTGCTCTAAACTAGACTTGGAAGACTGGCAGTATCCCAACCCTCGTACTTCTTTCGGGTGGCATGGCAGCTAGACACCGGAAGGAAGGTACAACAGGTTGATAGTTATTAGTATATACCCATTCTCCCATCTTAAATTCCTGGTACAAAGCAGCATCTATGGGTGGTTTAACAAAAACAAAGATGTTCAGTGGTGGATCCCAAACAGAGCAGCCAAATGGAGCGTGAAAATAACGATAAACTCACCATCGATAATATCTGTAGTGTACAAAACAGGTGGATGACCAGCGGAATACTCCTCAAGTTGTTTTTTTGCTGGAAGGATTGTTGTGAGAAGTGGAGGTGAAGGGGATCCACTATCTCGTCTGCATTGTGATTGGTAGCTGTTACGTGGAGTGCAAACCATACCCATGGGAACAAGAACTGGGAAATCTTTCGACAAGCCGTCGAGCACAGGAGATGGTAACAGTGGAGGTGAACTTGAAGGCGAGTGAAGTGTCGCTAATGGAAATTCACTGACAACTAGTGCCTCTTGCAATAGGGATGTGGATGCACTACGAGGCTGGCTTTGTGGGTGGCGTGATGGAAAATCCCTCGTGCTAAGGTCCGCAGGCGAAATGGGACAGGATCTAGTGTGAAGTGACACAGGAACGTCAAGCCTGCTCCCGACTGTATTATGCTCTGATATGGTACGTCTGGAGGAACCCAAACGGGGAACATTGATAGACGGCAGCGCACGGAATGCACAGAAACCCGAATAATCTGGTTGAGAATGCGACAACAAGGGGGAGTCGAGATAAGATCGACGTCGACGACGACGACGACCTACATCACGGGATTCATTGGGGAACAATGTCGGTGGTGTTGTGTGGCGACGACGACGATGATTCCAAAGATCGTCAATAAAGTCCTTTGATGATACACCATCCGTCACTAAGTCACCAGTGGCACGTACAGATCTGAATGCTGAATCAAACATGCATTGAGGTGAAGACACTGGATAGGTAGACTCGCACAAGGAAAGGCATGGAGGTACAGCGGAAGACGAAGGGACTTTGGGTGAAGTAGCGCTCAACTTTTGTGTCAGGAATTGATCGTTGATTCCACTGTCCATTCCGCCCAAAAAAGATAGCGTGGGTGGTGGAGGAGTAAGAGGTGGAGGTGACTCAGTACGGGGAGAAGGAGGACCGCAGAATGGGGCATCCAGTAACTGTGGTAAAAGAAATATGCGATTTGGAGGATAACTTCAAGAATCCAAGTTTTTCGGAAGGTTGGCGAGTAGCATGGTGACCTATGGACACTTTCATTACAAATCAAGAACTTGCTTCAACTAACCATGCGACGTAAAATACATTCAAATAAAACCCAGCTAACCCTTGGACAAACGTAATGAGAAAATGTACAACTATATTAGACATAGCAAGTGGATAGCTGCCTGCTTTCGCTACCGTGTTAAGAAATAAGTATTTCACAAACCCTAAGTGATAAAGGCTTGTAGTACATCGCTATTGCTTTTCATCAACCGATGACAGAAGCATATGTATTGCGGTTGAACTCCAGAAGCAGTACGTATGGGAATCGCGCGCAATCCCAGTGGCCGCATCGAGCGTGCCCACAAAAAAAACCGAGCAGTGCACTCGAATAACTGATTGGTGCATGGGGTGGGCACAACGGGCGGCTGGTGCACGTCTTGTCAACCACATCGTCTATCGACTGGGCCAGGAAAACTCACGCTCTGCCAGGCGCGCTAAAGTCAGTGCAATTAGTCCCACCAAATTTGTTGATGATCGAAGGAAATTCAGTTGTTTATTAGTAAAATGTACACCCAGTACGAAGGATGTTCGGTTTTAATGAGCAGCCCATTCTCGACAACGACATCAGAACGACCATTCGTTCATTTAATATGGATTAAAAACTACAAAAGTAGGCAGGTATACATAAGTGGATCAAAATGTGCAAATCACTCCGTAGCTTCATTACAAATAAAAAACCTCAGTTTTGTCACAGGGTAAATCAAAAGTACAACAGATAAAGAATGATGAGAAGAATCCCGAGCTGTTCAAAAACTAACCAAATTTTTTAATGTGGTTGATTTCTACATCCTTTCATTCTTGGTTCAAAAGATCATGAACTGATCTCGCATGCATTCACAAGATTCGCGAATGAAATAAGGTGAGAATCATTCAAACAGAAAAAAGGTGATAGAATTGGTTGACCATTAAATGGATTCTGGAGAAGCAGTATGTCCATTGGATGCCACATTGTGGGTTAGGGTTACGCTCACCACATTACGAAACACTGGCACACTAAAATTGGACCCACACTACAGGTTCTCGTCAATACTATTAACACCCGAAAAGCCTCCTTCCAGAGTAAACAGGTAATCATTTGAGTAAAAACCTGACGGGCCAGTATTTTACTACATATGCCACGTTTATACAGCGTACAAACGTATGTTACATGATTTTTCATTGAAAATTCGAAGAATCAGTTTCTCTCAACCTGAAGTTTTTGGATAACAGCTACGTTGTACGGTGTAAAATGAGCAACAGTCACTGGCTCCTCTGTCTTCAAACAAGTAACCGTTTAGTCATCACCTTCCAGTGGCCTCATTATCTGGAAAGGTATCCTACAATAATTCGAGCCGCTTGGATCTGTGACGGTATCAACGTCCCCACACCACCATGTCGATTGTTAACCTACAGTTCGTCCAGTCATCCGAATCAGGAGGACTCATCCAGACAGTAAAGTGGACATCTTACTCGTCAAAACTTCACTCACATGGCTATTCACACAACTGCGTGAGAAACCAACGATGTGACTATTGAAATGCTCATGAAAGTCCCGTTCTCGGATATGTTTTGAATCAAAAGTCGATTTCGGTGAAAAGTGATATAAGTGTGCCTTAGATGCGGCGTTTTTGGGAAAACGTGCAAAACGACCGATTAGAGTGATCTTTATATCTGTGTGAGCGCAATTCTGGCTGGTAAACTCTTGTAGAGTAGCAGCGCAACTCGAATTCACAAGTTGCACATTCAAGGTGACTGAGGTCGCCCTATACAACATTTTAGATTTCTGTGGAGTAGTATAAACATAACACAGCTGAGGTGACGGTAGATTTCCCCCCAGACAGCAGACTGGCGATGGAGCACACAAGGGATGTATATACTATTAAGTGATGGATGAGTAGTTTAGAATATATGCTAGACAGATGTCACACGTCAGAATGTACCCCCGGACGATCGTCGTGTTACAGAATCCATAGAATGTAAAAGTAGCACAAGAATACTGGTACAGATTCGTGTTTTTCAGGGGCTTCGCATGAGCGCCGATTCGGTATTGGTCTACTTAATCGTTTGAGTGAGCCAACATCCACTTGGCTTTATCCCAGATAATGATTAATCATACAAAATTTTGCACTGAAGCTAGGGAAAGATGACACAGCTAACACGGTCGTTGAAATATCCAGGTTCGTATGACCGACCCGAGTTGCACGACTATGTTGATGCATCCAGCAAAATGCATCGATACAAACGCTGTGACTTTACTATCTCTAACTGATCGATTAGTTTTATTAGTTTTCGAATCGACTGTGTTGACTGATGGTCTGTTAACACCATCACTTGTTGAATACCCGAGGAAACATTATCGGAAACAACTATTGGTTGTTGTTGTGTTCGAAGCTGAGAAGACTTGCCTTATACGGGAAATTGATGGAAACTTACGGGGATTTTTCTGTAATTCACCAACGAAAAAAGAGCAGGCCAGTTGTCCTAGTATTTTAGCCCGGATCCAACTCGACTTGATAACCAATCCATCCATGGTGTATGATTTGCCGGTATACAACTAACTTCGTCATCGTGTGATTTGACCATGGGCTAAACATCTCAAATCCACTTGCCGCGGTATCTCAGATCTTTCATGCCCAAACTTCAATATGGACAGTCCCATGAGGAGACCCCAATAACTCAATAGCTAGCTAACAGGGATATTGCTCACATTCAAAGAGATGCTTGTGTTTATTTTTAACAACCTAGCGCGGGAGTTTTGTTAGGCCACATCTGTTAGGCAACGTACGAAAGGTATATCTCAGACTACCGTAGAGAATGAACCCAAACCACTTGGTGATGAGATGAAAGTATATAGGAACAAAGGACAACAACTGGTCAAAAAATCTCGAAAAGAAAATGGTGAGAAATTAATGGGAAAAGTAAATAAACCAACCTTTTCCGTCAAACGAAGAGGCGAACTGGAATGAGTGGGCCGCAATGGAGACAGCTCACTAGTTTCGGGCAAACTAGAGTTTACCCGAAAGGACAAAGGAGTTGGTTGATCATAACAGGGGAATCGACCCGCCCCGTTTGGAGTGACCGACTGCCCATCGTCATGAATGGTAAGACTTTGGTCTCCGTGATCAGCAGCGTTCTGGTTGGTCGAGTTTGTTGTCTCGCTATTATTCGGTTGACTAAGGCGCAGTCGACGAGAACGAGACTGTGTGGCAGTCGAAATTAAACCAGGTCTACCGGGTGTCGACGGGCCTCCTGAAAAGATTCAAATAGCCAGTAGTAATGCTTAATAAGTTCTCCCGAGAACCAAACAGTCAGAAGTCATCTGCATCAGCATCGACAGCTTGAAATCAATGTTCAACACTGATGCTGCGCTGCCACAAGTATTATAAAGAAAAAGTGGACAGGGAAGAGACTTAGTTCTAGCCTACCACAATCATTCGGAGGCACCTACACTGCCAGATTCCCATACAGGCAACCTCGATAGAAAATGACAAGAACACCATTGGAATAGATTAGCAGCCATATCTTGCAGCGTCTCCAACCAGGTACACTGGAGACCACACGGTTCCTATCCTAGAAGACGAGTAGCACCGACAGCACCCAAACGTCTTGTAATCTCTTTAATACCCCTCTGTCAGGTCAAATGTTGGCCACCTATTTGCTTACGCTACTCCGAACGATGGTCGGTATGTGCAATACATGGCCTAAACAACGCAACTCATGGTGCTGAATCTATTCTACATCCCCCGTTGCATGACCAAACACTCGCTTTCTAATTGCCTCGTTACACATTCACCGACACCAACCCACAAGAGTCACGGTTCCGAGACAACGGCTTCAAACACCTAAAGACGTCTCAGTTCGCCTGAGCGAAGAGGCCAAGTCTCGGAGCCATACAACAAAACAGCCCATTTTGTATCCTGATATACATGTCCCTGGAGATTCAGGGATGTGCCGCTCTGAGCGCCTTAATTGTCTCAAATTAGCAAACGCGATCCAAGCCTTGGAGATTCGTGCACTGAGCTCATCTGTAACACAACAAACAGAACTAATACAACTTCCAAGATACGTAAAACGCTCCACAGCTTCGAGTGCCTCTCCACTGATTGTAAGTGGCGTGCACAGTTAGCAGAATTGAGTTATCTATAGATTGAGCTCGGATGGTGTGAAAATTTGCGTACACTTATATTGGTCACTGGAAGAAACTAGGGCGGATTGACTGGGCTATGAACACGTGAAAGCAAAAGGTTGAAGAGCAGGCTTTGTTGGTGACGTCACCTGACCCGCACAACGTTTGACGGACTTTAATGCTATACACCATAACCTACCGTATATTAGGATTGCAGAGACTCAAACGGCTCATGAGATAAATCGCAACTATATTGATGCGAACTTCCACAGCCTTTCAGGAGAAATCTACGTTAGAAGTTCATCAGGGAGAAGATATGCAGCGAGAAGTAGACGATCACAAGAAAAAGTGTCGCGATAAAAATTATCAACTGGCTACGGCTAACGAGAGCATACGGAGAGAGAGGGCACCACCAGAAAACTATGCCGGATAAACAAAGTGATGCATACCATGCGGGGACGGGGGATCTGGAGGTTTGGGTCCGTTAGGAAAAAATGGTTTCTTGCGACAGGGCGACTGTCCTGAACGTTTCCGAGGTCTTCGATTTTGCCAACGATCGTTAGGTGTGGCAATATCCCCATTACCGGTTACCTGAGGTAAGATCGTAGATGGTGCACCTTTATGTGATTGTTGGGGGGTGCGCGATTCGACCGGTTCAGTAGGTTTTTTGAGCACTGGCTCCATAGTTGCCAAAACTGCATTAGAACGGGTGGCGAGAGAAAGATGACTGTTCGGATTGAGTTCCGGTGTTGAAAGTAAGTGACTCGTCGGGTTCGACAGAGGCGATGTACCCAGTCTCGTCCGTAGGGATAATCGCGCACGTCCAACTGTTGAGGATATTACTGGACTTCCCATAGTTTTTGAAAGTTGAGGTGAGAGTATAGTATTCGCCGCCATTGAGTCACTACGCAATCTCCTTCTTGAACCCATGGATTGCGGTTCTTCAGAGTGAACTGGAACATGAACTTCAGGAGTGGGCTCTGGCGAACTAGTTGGAGATGTGAATCGATTCATGCCTTGGGGTGATTGAGTGGTAGCTGTATTAGAGCTGGAACGAGTAACGCGAGAGCGTGTCCGAGACAAACAGGCATCACCATGAGGTGCGCTCACTTCTGCCGACGTATCGATTTCCTAAAACAACAGTGATACTTTATTAAACAATGCACGAATAGTTGCCACCTAAAATTAGTCGACTTATTTCGAAAAAAACGATAATAAAACGTACTTTGGCGCAAAATTATCTGATATTTAGTGATGGACACACTAGACAAAAACATAGCTGACATTTATCGGTAATGAACGGATCGAAACGACTGGGAGCTATGAAATGTGACAGGAGTGCTAAAGAGTAGTCGGAAGGCTTCACACAAATTAAGCTATATTATTCTGTTTCATTCAGAATAGCTACAAAAAGCATGTAGACCCACGACATTTGCACACCCGAATCAAGTGTTTTGCAAACAATCTTCAAATATATCATCCAAAATAGACGAGACGGTTGGGTAACAGACTGTTTGCTTACGATTAAACAAGATGAAAACGCAGTATGCTTTAAGGGCAATGTCAATAACAGTCCAGTGTATGCATCTTCGGACGCCAGTCTGATAACCTTACAGGGTAAACATTAAAATAGTTCCCATAAAACACGCGCCAGGGATGCATTTTCTGAGCTGACGGTAGAGCAGTCAAGTCCCAAATTCGGAAAATATTTAAAATCAATACAAGTGATTGTAAGTGTCAAAAGATGAGCGAATCCGCAGCAAATCTCATACAGTGATGCACTCTCGTTATATGGTGAGATAGAACGACTGACATCGTGCTATATAAGAAAAACGAGGGCACCATTCATGACTCTCCTAAAATACAGAAGCGTGATAATAGCTATGAAAAGAGTTCCAAAGCAGAGCATAACTAACCTCTAGTTATATACTGATGAATCGCATGAAGACGGGAAGTGAAGGTAGCCGTGAGCGGGTACCAGTGTACGCAATACAAAAGCCATAGGTTGTAACTACGACTCACATATACAGACGAAACACTATTCGTAAGGTCGTTGAAAACTCTTCCAAAGCGGGCTTATGAATAGTGTGCTCTGTCCAAACAACGTACTACAATATTGTTCCAACTGAAAAAGGGGGCCGCCTTGTGTAACACATCTGGTTGATACACCCGCTAGAGCCAAACTTGGATGGAACCGAGTTTACTTCGTGAACGGCCACACTTATTCATATTGTTAGAAACCAGCGACACTAACGCTCTCACTACGACTAGAACTTACAAAGTAAACATCTCTCACACGATCCAGTGATACAAGAAAAAAAACACTGGTTTTAATGTAACGGGATCTGAAAGAAAAGCACGCACAAATACAGCAGGTCGAAATGCACTTAGCTGTCTGTCTTTATAGTTTTTCGTTGGTTTATTTTTGTTGCCGTTCGAAAGAAATATCAGTAACCAATCTCCAAAGTCCGGAGTGTCTACCAAGGTAATGTTCCCACAAATTGGACAGTGGTACCACTCCGAGCAGAACTGCGAACATTGGCTACTGGACTAAGAATATGAGCAGACAGGTCAACGACAAAAAACAGATAAGGAACGACATTGAATGCATAGGAAATGGCCATGACCCGTTGTAACATGGATCGCACTCCACTGTCTACAGACCTAATGACCCTTAGTATGGACAAAAGTATCTGCCGCTTTTCTAATGATGGTTAGGAACAACTCAGTGTATAACTATTCCTCAGAACCTATTTGAGCGTGAGAGCGAAGTACGTGCATTAGCGTACACTCTACAAAACTCATGAAGTCCCGAGGTTGCGCAACTGGAGCGATCGAAGGACTTTTCAGAAGGATTAGCTTTCTGCGGTTTGTGATTGAGGTCACAAGTAATCATTCAAGAAGTTGTCAGGCCTGTTGACAGATGGGGGCGGTAGCAGAAGCAGATATTGTCTCTAAGTTCATAAACTTTTCCTCGATTTACGGATGGGTGATTGGAAATAAACACTAATGGAGCCACTAATCACGTGTTCACGGAAATCGAATAAATTCCCATATTGTCTCTATCTTCTCTACCAGCCATCTAAAATATGTACGTCCGCTTTAGGAAATGGTTTGATAGAACGGACAAAACGTCCGGCTGTAAAAAAAAAACAAATAAATACATACCCTTGGGTGAATCAGCGGAGACCATCGAAGGCAGTCCTCATCGACAGGAATCCAGTATTTCGAACGCGCATCGTATTTTGCCTTCAAGGCGAGCAAGTGGGACTTATCGAAGCGGATGAGTAGCCTAGGAGAAAATGGCACATCGCCAGGTGTTTCCAATAAAAGAGGGCGAAATTATCGAAAAAAAGTTCCCACAAGAGTAAAAAAATCCCAACTGATACTCCTCTTCAAAAGCAGAAGCTAGTATTCAAGAGAATGACTTCAACAGCAGAGCAGAGATCTTAGTGATGTTCTTTGCCATGCAGACCGAGGACTTAAACGGCCGACTGTCGTTTCACATCCCCCCCCCCCAAAAAAAAACACGAACGCATCAGTAAGTCTCGTGACAATAATTCCAAGAAAGCTTTGATGGTAAGAACACATTATTCTAATTCATATTCGTCGTCCACCAGCATCTGCAATGTTTGCTAGGCCGGAATACATTTGGAAGGAACCTCAAGGTCAACGCAAGACACATCATAAGACAGTAAAAAACGATAAAACCACGTGCTTCAGTGGTCTCTACTTCGCGAGATGGAAATGGTGACAATACATGGCATGCTGTCTGCTGTCTAAGGTATCGACTTCTATTGGCAGTTTCACGTTGCGAACAGTCAATATTAACTCCGAAACTCTTACTTTTATTGCCCCTTTTATATGGACATGGAGAAAAACCGTGAATCTGTATCTTTTCAGTGAAGTCATGAGTAGTGTAAACGAAATCAAAATTTTGCTTTGAAATGTACCCACCGCAATGTGTGATTTACACAGTTCACGTACCAAGCAGCTTTCAACATGATATACACTGAGGAAGCCATGTCGCCTAGATCCTGTGACATATCACTGGTCTCCGAAATATTCAACTGACTGGCTAACAGTCGAGCGTTTCACACCGAATTTGTCACCCAGCCATCAGCGAGAACACAGTTTAACACTAAAACAAGAATTTACTTATCTGCAAATCAATTTGGTTTTCATGGGAGACTCAATTGAATCTCTCGTTTATGATGTCCTCCAGCTGAATGTGGTGCACACAAGCCGCCTCATGATTCAGTTCACACGCTATTCGAGATATCGCAGTATATTTCGATTTAAAAAAAATGAACCAATATGAGTTTGCGAAGAAGCGGTTGTTAGGAATTCAGCTGTTCCGACTCTATGCAGAAGTGAAAGTTTGAATGACGTACTTTTCCTTATCGGTAGTTACCTGTAAGACACTCCCCCAAATAGAGGGATTTCCAAGTTTCAATGGCAAAGAGTCTCAGACATTCGAGATGTTGGATCATTTAACGTGGGTGATTTTCCTATCAGAGAATTCGGCCACTGATCCATCCCATTTTTGTAGCGCCACTTTCACTTTTGCGGCCAATTTCACTTACGTCTGGTGGCTCGCATTGCAAGAGTATTCCCATGCTTTCCCTTTTCATAAAGTAATGTAATAAAACTTGAGGTACCTGTAGACCACAGTCGAGGAATGTTGAGAACGGAGGCCAACAACTTTGTGAGTAGTTTCCTTTATGAAAATATACTGCGATATCTCGAATATCGTGCCAACTGAATCATGAGGCGGCTTGTGTGCAGCACATTCAGCTGGAGGACATCATAAACGAGAGATTCAATTGAGTCTCCCATGAAAACCAAATTGATTTGCAGATGAGTGTATTTCTCGAAAACAGTGCAATTTGGGTTCAATTAGATCATACGGTTGACGGAAACTCGGGGACTGCGCCTACCTGATGAGCCCCAAGAAGGGCGAAACCGGTCGTGGGCTGTCCAAGAGTTTTCAGCAACCTTGTGAGTAGTTTCCTTTAAGAATTTACTTAATTCTTTCGCAGACCAAAGATGGATCAGTCCGTGAACAACCCTGTTGCCTGTCAGATGAACAGATCGAATCCATTAAATTGACCTACATGATATGAGAAATATTGTTTGACTGTTTGCTTATGATCATAGTAAAGAGAACTAAGCCCTACTGGCACATTTCAACAGATCCGAACTCAATCAGGATCAGTCGCTGAAAGCTAAGCGGGGCGCGTAGTTTTCAGGCGTCTACAAATTTGCGGACAGCGTTAGAACTGTCTTTTGCAGTGCATCATCATGGCACAGTTAGATAGACACTAATGGTTCACAGAATTGGATCTGAAACTAACAGACGATTTCAAGAAAGCTTGGTTAACAGTCGGTAGATTTGTCGTCGTTCCCCTTATGATACCTTTCAGATATCTCCATTCCATGGTACTCACCCTTTAAATGTACCAACATGAGCTGACGTGTAAAAGAGCAACAAGGCGCAAACGTCCTGGAAAAGTTTCGTAAACCATCCGGTGGCACGAACGCTTAAAGTAAAACAACCGCACTCTATGTGATTATTAAGTAGGTGCCAGAACAGTGCCATGTGACGGAAGAGTCAGGTAGGGCAGAAATTTTCACTACTTCTATCTACTTTCAGCCAGCATTTTCCAGTTGTCTCACCCGCCACAATGTGTTCAAAAAATTTCGTCACTTCTCTTACTGACTCTTGACATCAAAGTTGATGTCAGTTGACTCAAAATTGCGGGTGAACATCACTGACAGTGTTACATAAAATCCTCGCCGTTTGGCGCAGACTACAGCGTGCGTGCAAACGGTTATTAGCCCACAGAATTCCAGTCGAACGATTCAAGCAACAGATAATGAACACAGGCATGTGTGACTGCTATGGTAAGCACAACTGCCGCTCTCCAAAAGTTTACTTAGGTGTGTGAGTTGTGGGCAGAAGACGAGTGTTCAGTTAAAAAAAAACAGTCTTGATCAATTAGGGACCTGAATTCAGTTTGGTTTTGTTAATCTGGTTTCGAGTTATTCGTCGAACAGATGAACAGCTGTTTGTTACTATGGCATCGATTGAGCCGGCAATATCCAACTTGACCGGTGCGCTTTGCCTGCAGTTGAGGTGCACACGCTTGCGTACCGCGTCCAGATGTGCGAGGCACTAACAACGATGCATGCAGCCGTCAGGTTAAAGGTCATCAAGGGGTCATTCACACAACCAAAGGTCAACAAGCTAATGGTGAAAACAAGAACAGTAACCCAGATTTTTCGACATAGTAAATGGAGTGACTTGAACGAACATCATCACCATCACCAAAGACAGCAACAGTGTTGACAATGATGCTCCACTGACGTACATCCATAAGGTTAGCCTAAGTATATTTAAAAATCAAGTGAAAAGAGAAAGAGTGGTCGAGGGAGGGGACCTAATGCCGGCCTATGTCAAGCATTCCGAAGTGCCTACACCTCCAAGCGCTCAATCAGATAATTTGACAGCACGAACACCAGTGACATCAATTAGCCACCATTTCTTGACCGAACAGTCGGAAAAGGGATGAGTGCAGGCGAATAAAATAAAATTCATTGAAGCTTGGTCTGCCGATCAGCTTTGTGTTCACATTATCTTGGGTTCTACCGAAAACACGCGCGAGCTGCGCACAACAAAAGCCTTTGGACGAATACTCAGAAGGCAGATAGATATTCCGGAAAAGCTGCCCCACTCAAAAGTCATCCAGAGTTAAGGCGGTGGTTCTTTGAACATCTATCACATCCATTCAAAACGTCATAACTAGTAAGGAAATGCTTCAATTGCACAATACAGAATATCAACTGAAAATCCAACGTCGATGTCATCTAAAGGTTTAATAGTATCAACAACAAAATACTGCAATAATTTGGGGGGGGGGTGAGGGAGATTCGTGATGAGGGTACTAAGAGCTAAGGTAAATTAAGCAGACTGAGGAAAGACCGCCTGAGATATCAGAACGATAGTTCCGACGTTCGTGAGGAACAGCGGGGTCTGCACATTTACAAAGTAAGTGTAGCTGATGTTGGTGTCCAGCTACGTGGATAGCAAAGGAACGTACCACAGCAAGGTGATGACGAAACTCGCAAAGAGACCGCCGTGCTTTTAACGGAATATGATGAGTGCATAATGTGGATGAAACTGCAATATAATATTCCTGATTACCCCGTAAGGGAGCTTGGAGTAGTATTAGTAGTATAGTGGCAGACATTGAACGATGTGCACCGCAGTCAGTATAATTACGCAGACTCAATCTTGTAACATTCCCGAAAGTAGTACGAAAAATGATAGCAAATTGTTCACCACACCTCCTCTACTTAAACGGTTCATGAAGATAGGAAAACGGACTTGCCTTGCGTACATACTTTTCACTTAATCAGCTAGCATGACTACTCAAAACTGAGGCAACCGGCGAGAAACAACAGAAAAACCATGACGACGAAAAACTGAAAAGCTTTCTCAGAACACTATACTTCAAGATTACGTTGCTCGGTATTCGGGGTGTACTGCTGTGGTGCTCGTCAGAGAAGAAGGTCTACTCATATGTTTAATCACCACAAATAGTGACACCCCAATACTGGATACCGGCGCTTAACCTCCATACAACTACAAAGGGAAATGTACTAGTAACGTGTAGAACGGAGGCGTGCGAAACCAGCACCCGTTGAAACTCGGACATACAATACGTGAAGGTGATCACGCAAGATAACTGACAAGATCGGCGTCTAATGCGTGATCCTGTTCCACGTGAAAGTTATTTAATACAAGGCTTCTGTGCAGTGGGCCGAGTTGCCCGCGTAGTCGCCACGAAGCAGCAGCCCTAAGAGGTCCCACTTGTGGCGCACCTCACAATCAGAGTACTTTCAAAGATCCAGTGGACAATTCACCATCAGGTTAAACAGAAATAAAGAATACTTTGTCTGACAGATCTTGACAAGCCAGTGCTCCGCACCCAGAAATGGTGTCAGCAAGCGAAAGATCAATGCAGAGGGAGGGGAGGATAAGCATACGTGTTGAAAAGCAGATCAGAAAAGGACATCAAAAAGAAGGCGAAGCTCACCTCTTATCAGCACCCAGCTGAATTGATGTGGCCAATTGTTCGATAGTTTCACCCACATCATGCGGATCGATACCAGTAGCTGTGCTTATTTGATGGATAGTCGACACACACTCGTGAAAATCAATGGTATCATCTCCATTTGGATATTTATTCAAAGAATCCAAAATGAACGGCAGCACTTTTGAACGCCAATACGATTCGTAGGAAAGTCTACCCAATTCAGAAAGTGGCTTCTCTGGGGACCCTGGTTGATCCTCAATACGCGAAAGAAGAAAGCCTGGGGGTTGGAGGAAAACGACAAAGTAATATAGACCAAAAAGTACATCAACAACGAGTGGTTCCGGGAGAATGGACCCACGCCGTAGACCCGTAAGCATAAACCTATCCGTCCAACTGTAGCACCCTTTCAATACCTAACTGCCATGCCACCCGTACGTAGAGTACAATGTTACCCATTCGTTTTGCAACAAATCCATTGAAGAATGTTAGCTAGTATTCAGTCAAGTCTCTCGTTAAAGCCAAAAAGGTGTACAAATGATTGAACTCCATGGATTTTGTGCAATTTAGTTCAAGTCAAACAGTAGGTTGACGGAAAATAAGGGACTGTGTTTACGTGATGGGTCCAGATAGGAAGGATGAAACTGGTGACGGATTGTCTGAAACTTTCCACTGAGAGTCTAAATTCGAGAAAACCCAATGGTATATTTATCACTAGATGGATCGGGCCATTTAGAAAAGGGCTTGGATGCAATACACAGTAGTCACTCACTTCGTTCGCCTTATCTTAGGACCTTCTTCGAAAAAAGGATCGCTCTGTTTAGGTCCTGTAACTTGGTTGATTCAATACCAACCCCATCCCACCGCCCAAGGAGAACGGGAAAAGTGTGGCAATTTTGACCCTACTCCCTAGCAGGGAACACCTTCTTTGAGAAGTCAGAAAACATAACCAGTATTTGGCACAGCTTTGTTTAGCTAGGATGTCTAGGAGCCATGTTTAGCTTTACTGGTTATCCGCGATGCGCATTCATACGAAACGTGTCAGTATAAAGAAGTGGTACCACCATTCGCGTGTAATAATTGCAAGATACACTTAGGTTAGCTAATCTAGTTTTTCTAGTTAACTGCACCAACAATTCGATCGCTCGATGAAAGCCCAGTTGCAAGATTTAAGGTCCTTCTGAATGACCTGCGACCTTACGCGATCAGGCGATGAGACATAGAGTGTACATGTTCCACAAAGCTAAGCGAAGATTGAACAAGACCGACCGTTAACCATCCTCGCTGTAGGAGTTGCAATAGCACCAGGAAACAAAGAAGTTACGGGACTTTTCATCTGCTATCCCCTGAAGACACATTTATAAACCGTGTGCATTCCACGGCTCACACGCTTGAATCCCGGTAGTAAGCGTAAAGCGTATTACTTTACTCCTGAATGCCGCTCCGAACTGCAGCATATTATACAAGTTTAATCAGTCCCATAAAAGCTTCTTTCAGACGAACCCTACTTGTCACATTTCGGAAAAAACTGACGACTCCACTTTCAATCCGGCAATCGAGTAGGCTCTCCGGTTATCTAGGCAAGGAAGAATCACCTAGTTTTGCATCTTGACTGTGCATTTCACCGACTCACCGAGGTAGAAACTAGGTCATATAAACCAGCTGGCATTGGGATATTAAGAAATTTAGGCTTGCCACTTTACTGCATATGATTTTTGCGTGGTGAAGAAAGTTGTTGACCAATCGAACAGCACAAAGGAAGATAAACCTATGAATGACAAGCAACGGCCAGTCGATTTCAAGAACTCGAGAAAAGCCATACAGTGTCTGTATCAGGTGATGAACCTTCGAGAAAAAAATGAGCAATTCGATACCTAATAGCACACTAACGATGGTGCCCACCGTATGAGAATTGAACTTTAAACAAATAGTGTGACGGAAACTACAAAGAGACGGCAGACTCCTTATGAAATTAAATAGTTGACTTGAGGCCCATCTAGTGACCACATAGGATAGATATTTGATACAGACCTGGACCGCTTCCCACGGGTGACCTCTGAATTCCCCAATATGACATATTACTTTCGGTGGTCAAGGACTGTGAAAAGACTAATCAGGTGTGTACAGATTATGTACCACTTCTGATTTTGGGCAAGTCACACAAACTCCGAGCCTACAAAACAAAGCCCAGTGCTTGACACACGTTCTGCGGATAGTCCAGGCCAGACTAGTGACCCAGTGGATGCGTTGACATACGAAATGGATTGGAAGGAACCAGGTAACCAGACAGGCTCTGTGTCCCAGGATCAAATCATCAGTTCTTGGGCCCACGCCAAAAGTGGACTAGACTAGAAGGATTAATGGTTCAGTGGCAACGGATGCATCTTTTTGATGAAGGACCTGAGAAGGACAGCTAAGTACCCAGCAAAATAGCCCGGATACAGGAATATTAGTGAGTGTGAATAAGAGCATACTTACAAACCAGCAGAATAGAAATAATAAAGTACTTATAGTACTTTAGTCGGATCTAGGGAGGTTCACAACACTGGACTGGCAACAGCTGCAATCGAAGGAACGCCAGATTCACCTAACTCATATTCCACAGACTTATGATGAAATCCCCCGTTGACTGAGGCATGAGGGATACTCGTCAAAAAAGTGAAGGTTAGGTCCTTGAGCTTTTAAGAGGTGGTGGGGTTTGCCAAGAGTGCATGGCGCAACAGTTAATTTAGTAGAACACTCGTATTATGTTCGACAATTCAAAGACTCCAGTCGTGCTCCTTAAAAGAAAGGGGTTTCAAAGGTTTGCCGGAACGCAACCAGCTGGACACAAGTGGACAAAAAAATGACCAATGCTTCCACGAAAGAAGATCGCCAAATCGAATTGAGTGACTGACTAATAAAATTGATTTCTCGCCCCCAACTCACTGAAATCAATCAGAAACCGTCCATAGGCGGCTTTCTGGTACGGGGGTAAGACCATGATGCAACTCAGGTTGTACTTCTGCGCAGACCGTTTTTCCTTTGAAAAGTAGCCGACCAGCTGGAAACAACCCGCTTCACGTAGAGCAACAACGTAGAATAAAAATGGTTCGACATCGTAGTAAAGAGTTTTATGGTCGAGGAACAGTTTGGCCAACAAACACAACTGCTGACAGTAAAGCCGCGAGGTGTAACCGTCCACTTCGAATACGGACACATTGCCGCAACGATAGATCTCATTGCCGGGAGGGAAGCTGTAGGGACATTTTTCCTGGATGGAAGAGATAAACCACAAACAGGAATTCGACTCAGTCGACTGCTGGTACGGAGTGGTGGTACTGTGCAAATGAATACGAAAACCACTAATAGTGTTGTAAAAATAACACTATATAATTGTCAGTGATATGCAAAGCGTTGGAAGCAGCCCTTTGGAGGACGGAGACGAGTTAAAAAGACTTCCTTGAAAAAAAACTTATGGATAGTAGAAAACCTCATCAATCGTAGCGAAGTGGTGGACACGGACATGTGAATCCAGACTGAGTCATTCTTATAACACTTTTGTTGCTGGAATGCTTGCTGCTAGGTCATAGCCGATAAAGTGGAATCACTTGGGGAAATGATAGACACAAGATAGTCTAGAAAAACAATACGATGGATGGGAAGATCGATTTTCATAAACTAAAGAATTTTGTTCCTGGAAAGTTAATTGATCAGTTGAATTGGAAGGGCTCAGGGAGTGCTAGAGTAAGATTCACTTCTGGCAATGTTGTAGAATATAGGTAGCTCGGGTGCGCGGCTTGGTTGTTGGTCTGTTCACCGAGCTTGGTAGTTGGATTGCAAACGTTTCATCACGAATCGAGGTGACACCGTCAGCGCGCACTGACGAGTTGTTTCATAACGGTCCTATCATTGAGACTGCAGTCATACGTCTTTCTGTTGACACCACAAGGTGTGGGGAATGGGTTTAACCGACATTCACAGCGGTCAACTGTTTCACCCAACAGAAAGACCAGGAACATCAAACGTTACGTAAAAATTCTTGGCTTCATTTCTTATCTATACTTAGTTGTAGTGCAAACGGTTGGCTGGGAAGTTTTCTCAGGATGAAACTACTTATCTCGATGGTTCCGAACAACTTCATACAGGCAACAGCAAGGTGGAGCCAAAAACTAACTAGGGATCGATGAGTTTTCAGCAACCTCGTGAGTAGTTCCCTTTATCATTCAGCCATATTTTTGTCGTAGGAAAGGATACAAAAGCTTGTAACCAGCGGTAACCAATCGATAAGAATAAATGGCATGAATGCGAGGAGTGGGTGAGTAAAAGGAAGAAGACTCGGCGACTATGGTAACCGTAATAAGTGTAAATATGGAAGTGGTGGTGGTTATTATTCAAAACGGCGTCATGAGAACGACCCCATTCTGTGACACTGTCGCTGTTTCATGAGCGGACAGCAGTAGCTGTGACACGTGAGCACCTCTGTGGCCATTGAAAACAGCAAGTCACGAGACCTAGATGGACTGGCAAAACGGATGCCACCACTTCCACCAAATCGCATGAAAACTGCTACTGTTGTTCACACGGCTTTCTCTCTCTCAAGGGATGGAAATTGGACTTCAGCGAAATAACAACGGAGGTGCAGTTAAACAACCACTTCGATCGATTACGGATAATCAACAAGAAGATTTACTTCTGTGGTGAACACATGTATTCGTCCACAAAGTAGGTTTCCTGTGGGAGTGTGTGCACGCGCACAGTACCTACATGTCGACAAGGAGAACCAGAATACATGCAATGGTCACTCAAATACCAAATTAAATCAGGTGAGTGTCCGACTACATGACTTACTCGAACAGTAACCAGTGGGCAAATCAAGCACGGCAAGTGGTTCAAAGCGACAAGAAATGTGGGCAATGAGTAGTTGGAACGGACGCGCTCGTCCGCAAGGGCATGAAATGAACGAAAATGGATGCAAATATGGAATACTCACGATATGCCTCAAGTAGACTTTCCGCGTCTTGGAGTATTTGAGACAAAATTCACATATATAGAGGAGATTCAACCTGTAAATGGAAGGATTAGGATCGAAACGTAATCGAACAGATAAGCAACGAGTTATGATTCGACGAATGGACATAAAAATTGAGGGGTTCAACAACCCGCATAATGTGGAGCTGGATTCACCACAGCACGGTGGTTCACCCAAGACTTCTCTAGGAAGTCCAACCTGCAGAAGTCACAACAACGATCCATGACAGTAACTACCGGGCATCGGATACCTCAGAGAAGCTACAACTAATCCTGTCAGTAATGCCGTTAGCTGTGGTCCCTCTTTGGGGAATTACTACAGCTGAACCTGAAGAAGAACAGACAGCATCCTCATGAATCGCAGTAGAAACCCACTAGTGAGCGCTTAAGAGAGTAACTAAAAGCGATTTCACCCCAATGGTGGAGCTACGGTTTTTCCGAGGCTAAGCCGTTTGTGAACTATAGGTCGTGAGTCCATTTTTCGAGGAAGTTCTGGTAACCGATTTCCCTAAAGCTGGCTTCCGCCATACGTGTTGACGTGTGTGTGTGTGACGTGAACGATCAAAATTGTTCGCTTTCGAAGGATTCACCGTAGAGGAGTTTTAGTTTGAATGGGCGATCCACAAATCATCTCTCACAAAACTGTGTGTGCTGCCTTGGAGAGTCACTTATCGTGGGAAATGTTTTGTTTTCTCGACAGAACATAATAGTTGCAAGGCTACTCATAGTTGTTCAACAACCCACCAAAGGTCTCACTTTTCTTGGGGATCATCTGTTAGGTGTACTCCGGGGATTTCCGTTAACTTTATGCTCTACTTGAACGCCAAACTGTAGGCAATGGACGAAATCTTATCACTTAAGTGTGGACAAGAGTGTCGAAAGAATCCCTCATTTACGTTATTCTTCAAATAAATGTGATCCACAAAGGCCAGCCCATATTCCGTTTGGCACAATATTCGAGATATCGCAGTATACTTTCTTGAGGTAACACTACTCATACAGGTGCTGAGAACTCTTCGACATCCCACTCGCAGCTTTGACCTTTTTGAGGTTCAACAGGTAGACATAGTCCGCGAGTTTCCTTCAACTATATGCCCGAACTCTGTCATAACACCTACCACTTTCAGCCACCCAGTACAATACACGGTGACTCATACTCTGGAAAACCAGTTTTGGTGATGAACACGTGATAGAGGGTAACCGAATACACCCAGTATGAGTGAATAACGAACATGTGGAGAGGACTATTTTCACCCAATTATCTATTCTGTGTACGTACATGCGAAAAAAATACGCATAATGCACAGCACATTTAGCCTACTGACAAACTCCAGGGCAGTAGGCAGTGGTATTACAACCAGGAGCAGCTGTGTCCACGGAACACAGCAGGAGTTTCATCGGATTAAACTGTCACAAAATTTTATTTAAACGTGCTGCTATTCTAGTTCGTCACAGCTGTGGGTCACTGATAGTACGCGGAACAAAGGGCATTTATAGGAAACAAAATGTTGAGAATGAGTAGGAACAAATATGCAACAGTATCGTTTGGCTACCTGGGTTCATTATACCAGCAAATACTACCAGATTTGACGGGATGCATTCACAAAGGATGATTCGCACTGGCAAACTAGTGAGATGACCGGGCGTTCTGAATATACGTGAATGGTCCACATTTTGCGAGGTAGGAGCACCAGCAGTATCTTGACTTACACAGCCCATTAGCTAGTCACTTCTGTGGTTTCTGTCAACACAGAGTATCCGACTAAGCCCAGGACAAAGCCGTCAGAAAACAGAACATAAATGGAAAGACTTGCTATAATTGCCTAGTCAATCATGCGAGTTCGGAAACAACTGTGTCAAAGACCCCAGATGAACGGCTTCAAACGGACCCAGGTTCAAACTGCACGAAAGTGAAATCCTTCCGCGAGAAGCTGTTAGTGTGAGAATGAATATTCGTCGATCTGGATGGAGGAGCGGAGCGATACGCCCGAAATTTAGCCTTATGGAACATGCCGTGAAATTTCAATCCCACAGCTTGTTCGATACCGAATCCCTTGTTAACACCTATTACTATTTATGCTAGGCGAAGTAGGGACCATGGCGCTACCTGACCGGCAAGACTTCGCAGGCCAGTCATCGACTGGCACAATCACTGAGGCGTCAGACAAAACAGCGTGAGCGTTTGTCCGTTCAAAATAGCGTCCAGTGTTTGCCAAAGACAACAAACTCAAGCGCCGGGTTTCTACACTTGATTTCTCTTTAATTCCTTCCGACTCGTGAACTTGCCGATGAATCGGTTCGAGTTATTGGTGTAAATTAATGGTTCCACCATAAATGACGGACCGCTTGGCTGACAATAATCGCACTTCAGAGCGGTCAACTGTCTCATATTAGTGTTGCTAGGCTGCCATACGTTCTGGGGACTTAGGCTTAGTTAGATAACCAGAACTGCGCGTGTGAACGTGTGTTTACGTGCCATCACTAGCGTTGGACATTTTGCTTCTAAAGTTTGTTTTTATCCGGTTACCCCTGTAGTACCATCTGCGATCAATTCCCATGCGATACATGCGGTACATACCGACACACTAAGCTACCGGAAAGAGTTGCTGTATACATGCAAGTGAAACTGCATGCGAAACCAGTCCAAATCGCAAATGACAGGACGCTCAATTCTTGTGATGAGGGGCAGGGGAACTCCTCGAAAAAAAGGTCCCTACACACTCCAACCAGGACTGAAGGAATGAGGAGTACAGAGCAACTGTATCACAAATAGTGGGATTTGTTCACAGTCTGTATCTGAAGAAGTATACGAGATTATGACCGGAAATCTTCAGAATGGTAGCTATAGTCTGTCGTCGACATAATGCCCAACACAGGAATGACAATGTCTCATGCGTGTCAACTAACTTCCATTGAGAAACGACTTGTCGGACAAGGAAACAAACACCATATGGCTCTCCGCAAGTATGGATTAACGTGAAAGAAGTTTGATGCAATCGGAGTGAGCCGTTTCTCCCCTTGGTAAGACCGCCCCCGTAACACCTCAGTAGGTACTAAACACATACTGATACCCAAATTATGATCCGCTTCCCGTGTTCTGAGAACTCACGTAATGAAACCTAGTGTACTATAGTGAAGGTGACACTGGTATGTCACCGCGAAAATGCCCTGGTATATGTAATAGGGTTTATAAGGTAAAAGGAACACTACCTGTACCAGAATTTGAAAGCAAAAAAACATTTCCAGAATCACCCGCGGTGAGCCATCAACACATAAGAAAGATACGGATAAGTAAGCACTTCAACGCTCATCAGAAAAAACATACCTTGCGTATTCTGAAGGATATGGTGCCGAATACCAAGTGGTAATAAGATGACGACCAAGTTGGATCCGTGGAGGAAACCTCGCTTCTTCGACTTTTGCCTCGCTTACGTCGCCTGGCATTGCGGAATCCTGAGATGCAGTGTCCATATTAATTACAAGTTTCGGGTTGTTAACCGGGGGGACTATCTTGCTCGACTCCAAGGGCTGTGGCAGACACTGAAGCAATCGGATCAGCAGTGAAGGAAACTGGTGGGAAATTCCATTTCCAATATCATCATTGAAACCTTAAACACTCGAGCGGGAAGTTGCAAATATATGCCTGCAACTGTAGGACTACCTGGGATATCGCGCTGACATTAAGAGGATGTGTATCTCTTAGCAATAAACCCAAACGGAGACATGAGACAATTTAAATAGTAAGCAGACGAGGAAAAAAGTCGTTCAGCTGTAACACCCTTTCGATGCCGCACGAGGGCTAGAAGACTGTCAGGTTGCCCAAGCCTAGACAGGGAGAGTCGACAGGCAGAGGTCGGGTTCGAACCACGGATCTTCCGGGCAGTAAATTCGTGCTCTAACCACTGAGCCATCTCGGAGGCCAATATGCTATAAGCACATGGTCAAAGGTGGCGCACTTTCTTCGTCATACACTTACCATACTACGTTATGACGAGCAGTCAGAAATAGAAGTAGAAGGTGAAGTCCTTGTGTCCCGGAAAAACACTTACGACACGACACTGCAGTCGTACACGTCCATGGTAATTTATGAAAGAACTGATTGCCTGCTGTCAATCCATCCATCTCTGGAATCACTAGGGTCTAATGACCATGACGGCTTAACCGAACCAAAAAGCTACCTTAGTCGGTAAGTAGCCGTGCACAGATAATTCTCCACTGTGACCTGGGTGACAGTAAGGGGAGCCTCGGTATGTAATACCTGCTTCTTTGCTAACATGGATAAATGTCACACAAAAATAAGATGATCAAGTGAAATAATCTCACAAATGCGACCGACTCAATACCATTAGGGGTGCATTTGCGCCGAAGTTTTCCAATAAAACGGCTATCACCAAAACGCCTAGAGCAGAAATCTGTGGGCCACGACAACGTATGTTGAAAGTTTTGGAAGTACTACACAGTTATTTCATCCTCAACGGACCTCGACTCACCAAACATGGAGACTCAAACTCCCAATCCAAGCTTCAACTACGGACAACTGATCAGCAGTGCACCCTATGAAGGCATACCACACGACGGCTGGCTCCAGCTCACATATAAATTAGCCACACTTCTAGGTTGAACAGTTGTGATCAATCTCTACTTGCGATGCAACGAGCAAAATGTCATCACAAAATGCTCACCACTGGTTACACAGAACAAACGACTAGAGATCTGTGGCACGCTCCTTAATTCTTCAGTGCAGGTTAACGAAATTCGCTGGGTAAGACTCAGTATGCTGTTCATCATCGACAATAACAGTTAAACACTGATCGCCGGATGAGTAGCGAGACTTATCAACGGACCGATAGTACTCATCAGAAACGAAACTTCTCTTCCTTAGTCCATGCGCTATTTCCTAGGAAATCATCCTGCGAACCGTAGAGTCAGAGTTCGGGAGCCTTGAAACCAAGCAACAAGCAACCGCAACTAGGCCTTCCTTTTGCTCGGAGCATGCATTCAAAACCGGAGCTCATGCATATGCCTCAACCGGAATAAATTTTAATCGTACTATACTTTAAATGCAGAGCTACTACAAAACCCGGGGGACGCATACGGACCGAGACTTACTCAAAAAACAAGAGTTGTATAGGAACCGCGAACCTACTGGTCAAGAGAGTATACCCGAAACATGTCATCCCAATTTTCTCCTTTAATTTCTAGGTATCTGGCGACTATAATTCAATGGCTCGCATTATTTTTTAGCACGACAGGGTGAACTAATTCCTAGCATCTAGGATCCATTCTCTTCTGGTAAGTCCCGTTAGTGATACTCGACAAAAAAAACATACTGGTGGTTGAAAAATGAAATTCTGGAGGTGACAACGATACACAAAACCCGAACTCGCTTGGGGTACCTCGTCTGGTGAAAAACATTGACCCCAGGAAGCTACATGGATGCAGAAGATGGACTAGGCTCTGTATGGGAATAACCGTGTAGCCGATTTAGGAGTAAATGAAGAAAAGCTGATTTCTTTTGCACACCCCCGCTGACTGTTGCTAATTTGTATTAACATGTATCACAGACATTTACAATAGGGTATTGATGAAGCGTCATTCAAAAATTGTCTTTCTATGTTTTCAGCTGAGTCCAGTTCTAGCCAATTGCAGGCTCAAAGGATGGTCTGCCTTCCAGCGCAGTGTTGCACACAGGCATTGATCCAGTCCACATTCAGCAGCTGCTAATTCAAAAACCGTCGGAAAACCGAACATAACTAACCGAAAAATCGAATGGGCTTGTACCAAACTATCTGTTCAAAGCCACTATGTAACCGTACGAAATCATGGCGTGATAGCACCAGTTGCAAGATGGACTACGGCCACCTGCAAGAGATGATAGGTTAGAAAAAATATGCTTGACTCTCGAAAGCGCCGGCCAGGTACCTGCTAGACACCAGAATAAACTCGGTATCGTCATAGCCGAAAGGTTTCATTGGTGCTAGTAAGGACATCTGAAGATCACGCCACAGGCAAATTCGGTGAAAAACTGTGGTGAGTAACTTAAGGGTTCACAAAGACCGTAATGCCGATAGATGGAATGAACACTCTACACCTCAAACTCTCCCCAACTTCTTGTACAACACGGCACCAAGGACTTCTTTATCTGTCCATAAGGGCAAAATATTATCAAGAGTTAACCTGTCGTCAGAACTAGCTTAGAGTCGCAGCAACTGGGAGCTAGAACAATCACGAGCTGAGATGAATTTCGAGCCTGAAAATATGAACCACTAAGAAAGCTAGGAGTTAATTAGACCGGAAACCCACATTTGCAGGCTAGTCAATCGATACACTAACACAATCCAACTGAGGCGCTAGTCCTGGAAAATGGAATCCTCAATCGAACTCGGACACCAACGGTAAATTTTGCAGAACTCCGAAAACTATGGTCCGAAGTGAAGTTTATCTTTCAAAGGTAGGATATGCAATATACTGTGGTGCACCCGATTCCGCCGTATTTGTCAAAAGTACTTCCGAATCAACGCCCAAATCTGGTGGAATATCGGAGCAATAATTCCCGGTTGTACCGAATGGCTTTCGAGGACGTAACCTCAATAAGGTATTTGGTCATCACTCGAGGGATGCATCAATTAAGTCACGTGCTAGGGAGGAATTCACTACACAAATATCTTTACACTAGATGAGGATCAACCGGGAGCTGCTAACTAGGTGTAGTTGCCGCCATACGGTGAACTACAGTTGCTAAAAACTGGATCATGGTACAGCCATGCTTAAATGACTATAGGGAGCATTGCACTGTGATACGACTGGGAAGACAGCGTAGCATCTACCCTGGACGACCACCATCATTCCCACATTTATGGAAGTAGCATGCTGAAGGATGGAATAGGAAACGAAAACCCAGAAAATCGCGCAACCCGATCGCCCAGTGACTAACAGTGATAGCAGGTGAATTATCTGGCATGACAAAGGTCCACCGCATTGAGCATCCGGTAAAAACAAATTCTTCTGCTTTATTCAAATTCCCCAGGCGCGTGAAGCAAACAGCTGGTGTAAGATGGCGTGATCGACAGGGTTCAATAGACAACGCAACGATCGGTTGTCCGATTGTCCGTCCACGTTTGGGAAAGGGGCTTGTGGCCGACATTCTCGGAACCTGACCATATCTGAAGCTTACCTATCCCGCTGGCATTTGGTTGCCTGTACAGTTCTCCCCTACGGAGAGACCACTTGAACCGAGACTTAAAAGTTAAAAGGGGCTTTGAGGGAAGAAGGAAAAGATATGAGTCGTCTTTCCAGAGGCAACTACACATAAAATCCCGATGAGTCAGGGTGGGTTGTTTGTAGATGCAACCGCTCTCATGGAAAACATAAAAACGTGTGAACTGGGTAAGGGCTGGACGGAAATTTAAACTCACAGCTTGAACATCAGCTTGGATACTAGCAAACAAGGCTCGGTTATCCTCCGTAACCACAGCGAATTCCGGACATTCGTCGTTGAACGGATCAAACACAGCAGTAGGCTTTCGATCTTTTTTACCCATGTAGTCAGAATCGCCGTTTGCAGCGGCCACAGTGACACTTGAATCATCGTCAACATCATCTTCATCACCCGAGATAGCAGGTACAGAACCGGTTATTAGCGACCGGTTTTGAGACCTTTTCGAATCGGAATGAAGGCGCGAACTACCCCGGAGCCTTGGAGTGTACCTCCTCATCACTGAGTGTTTACCACGTCCTCGCCGTCGAAAAGAGCCAAGTGCCCGTTTCACATTCACTCCGGCAGAAGACCAACGGTGCAAAGTCGACCGTGATGGCGCCTGTCGCCAATTATTTCTCCGGCGACCTCTGGACGGTCGCACAACAACGGGTTGATTAATTATTTGGGGTCGATGGGATCGTATGGACAGGACGTCTGCAATGGAGCAGCAAAAGATTATTTATAAAGAATGGACCAGATGGTCTACTCTACATGTGAACCATGATATCAGTTGTTAAACTAGCTGAGATTGTTAGCTGAAGTGCCACGCGACGAAAACTCACCAGACATTAATTTTTCGGGACTTTGTGAGCAGATAACTGAAGAACCCATCGATTCGCATTGAGCTGAATTACGTATTTCTTGAGAACGGGATCTCCGGTCCAGAAGTTGTAAACGAGAAGCACTGCGCCCCCGAATCCTCAAACTGGTTGGACTAGACTGTGTGAACAAGCTTCGCGCAGACGACTTGCGTTGGAATGATCCACCTTCTTCCACCAAAATGTCCGTCTTGTCATCATCATCATCAAACATTGAAGTATCTTCTCTTTTCGCTTCCTGTGACGGACGTTTTCTGACCAAACTCTGCCAAGCTTGACTGGCCACAGCTGAAGTTCGTCGGGGACGTGGAGCTGAGGTGGAAAGGTTGAAATCAACAAGAAAACCGTCTGTTGCAAATGATCTGGAGGAGGTTAAGGTAAACTATTTATTTAACCATGGAATTGTTCGGAAACTCGACAACGCACAAACCCAACTCACCAACTGGTGACATCGTCACTGAAGACTTCTGAGGCCCACTCCCCGAAGTACGTGGAACCGATTTATTAGGCGAACGACGTGTCTTCGATACGGCCCAAGACGCTAGGGACTTCTGAACCAGACGCTTGGATGCGTTAACTGAAGTGAGATTTCTGGTCCTAACGGGAGCACCTCCAGACCGCCTTAGTCTTTGACCTCTTAGCTGATTGGCTGGATCCGGTGTTGGAGAGCATTGGGAGGGGGTCAGGATGTTGAGCTTAGACACACCTGAGGCAACTGGCTTCGTGGAAACATCCTGATCTTGGTTAGTATTCAACATCGAATGCATCCAGTCGATTTCATGCTGAGTAAGTCTATCACAGATACTTATCGCCCCTAGCCGAGGGTCAACTGGAGCGGAAAGAGCGTCCTCTGTAGAACAGATAGGACATATCCAACTACCTGTGATAAGGCAAAACAAAAATCTAGGGTCATGTGACGGAGACAAATACAAAATATGGTGGTTACAGTAGCATTCATTACTCACAAAAAAACGTCAACGTGAGGTTCTTCGACTGAAATTAATCACTAGCATCGAGTTAAGATGTACAGCACGAAGGATGGCGATTGTTAATTAAATGTGGTCTATTTGACGGTAACTCTAGAATCTGGTGTTCCATATAAGAACCCTCTACAGAAAGCTTTTTGAAAGTGACAAGGGTGGAGAGTTTTTTTAGTGATTCGATAGAAGGTTTACAAAAAATTAGCCAGTGTTCCAGTTACACCAAAAATAGGAAGTGTACACTATAGTCTTGAGTGTATCCCATACAGACTCAGGAGACATCCAGATGAGTGCAGCAAAATTAGGGTAGCAGAAATAGGAAGCTGTTTTTGCTCGTATACACTGTGGCTACAAAACCCGGTCTTCGCGGGATATGTATGCTGTGATAGCGATATCTTTGATTTACTCCAAAATCTCAATACAGAACCAGAACCCGATGCCAGAACTGTGGTACTCAAACAATACAATCAGCTATCTGCAGTGGATATGATGGGAGTGCGTGTACATGAGTATTTTAAGCAGTAACATTCAACCAACTAATTTCACATCATCGCCGGAAAACTAAGGCACCTAAACTTCATGATAGAAATCACTGACAAAGGATGAGCGCCAAAAGGAGATGACACTGATCTGTCACCGCAGCAAAAGGACTATACCAAGACGGAGTAGAATTTATAGCAACCGATGGCTGCTTAGGAAACAGGACAGATCTCTATGAATGCTCTTAACACTGGGAAATAAACATCAATCGCGTCATGAGAACAAGTTTCATGCACGGCCATCAGAAGGTTGAGAGGCCAGTCTCTGTCGATCGATCACCTCAGTGCGTACAGTATGCTGTCGCTATAAGAAACAACAGGCGTTCCACGCTGAATTTCTACTTGACTTAACATTCCCAGAGAAGACCTTTAATATTACTAGTCTACGGCTGCTTCAACGTTACACAGGTTAGCGAAACTGGCTACCTATCACAACCACGAACTAGTAATAACCTATTTATGTTCTGGCTCTTGTGATTAAGCAGTAGGATTAATGTACCTGAGATGAGTATGAAATCCGAACGTTCCAGGGGAAGAGCTGAAAATCTTAGGAAAGTGAATTAGGCAGCATAAATTGGGGCGTACATAACTATATAATCTAAAACTGATTGACTAGGATGAACTAAGCTCAACTCCCATATAATTGTGGAACTGATTCTCACGTTGTACTGTACAACGTGAAATAAAAGCTTGGTTCATGAACCATGCAGTGCGTTAGAGGTTACGGTTAAACTTATCACCGTTATGCTTTATTTACTTCTTGAATTCTGGTGAACTAAGCAAACAATTAGACGGTATTTCACATCAAAATGTTTCACGGGCTTCCTCGTTGATCTCACCGGACTGTTAGTCTCCTAGAGGTGTTTTCATGCCAGAAGAAAAATTATCCAGTTTTGCATAATGCGGTAACAGACGTGAAACTTGTGCTTAGCAAAGGATACAACAGAAGTCGACTCAAGTAGAAAGTTGTGTGAAAACGTAAAATCACCAGAGGATTAAGCAGACTCTGGAAGTCTCGCTGACGTTAAGGCCCGAGGCGGAAATTCGTTCGAGCTAAATTAATTTATGAAAGAGGCTTCTGAGCGTGACAAAACGAGTATAAAAGGAGCAGGAATGACGTTAGAGGACACTGTTGACCTCCATCAGAAGCTTGAAGAATTCATCTTGGAGAAACACGTTTAAGGCTCTAGGAGAGCTAAAGATTCTCCAAAATTAGAGTATCCCAATACAGTACCCCGGCGGAGGATCTAACGTAAGAGTACGCTGGTGTATAGGCTCCAAACTGAAATAACAAACTGAACATGAGGATTTATCTACCTACCAGCCGATTTTCCGCATTCATCTAGAATTTTTTAAACCAAAATGCAGGAATAGCAAGAAGCTAAAAATAACNGCTGACGTTAAGGCCCGAGGCGGAAATTCGTTCGTGACAAAACGAGTATAAAAGGAGCAGGAATGACGTTAGAGGACACTGTTGACCTCCATCAGAAGCTTGAAGAATTCATCTTGGAGAAACACGTTTAAGGCTCTAGGAGAGCTAAAGATTCTCCAAAATTAGAGTATCCCAATACAGTACCCCGGCGGAGGATCTAACGTAAGAGTACGCTGGTGTATAGGCTCCAAACTGAAATAACAAACTGAACATGAGGATTTATCTACCTACCAGCCGATTTTCCGCATTCATCTAGAATTTTTTAAACCAAAATGCAGGAATAGCAAGAAGCTAAAAATAACCAGTGAAATTCTAGGGCTTGGCGAAATTGTTCGCCTGTTGGGTCCCTAAACCTCACATGCCGCGAGTGATAAATGTTTTCACCGATCTCTGGCTACTCGCGAGTAGTTGAAAGCCAACGCGCTATTACCGCCAAGAAATACGCTCCTTCACGTGCATACCCGTGTGACCATAAAGACCATAGAAAGCTTCGTATTATAGGGAGAAAAACGGTGGAGGGGTAGATCCGCTGCAAACGTATCACAAGCATTCACTGGGTGATTAGACCTCTAAACGCCCCGATAACCATGATGGAAGCCAGCGGCATGAACTAATCAATATGGGCTGATGCATTCGAAGGCAACAGTCTGAGCCACTAGAATACGGCAGAAGCATCAGTTTTCAGTGATACTGTACTTTCGATGGTGATGATAATAAGCCACCAGAGATGCACAGGCGGAAAGGCGAGAATCGCTGCAGTCCGATGCGTTAGTTTAGACAATATGGGCAGTGAAGAGGGAACACGGCGTACGAATAATAGGTGATTGTTATGCTCGCTTCCACGTGCGAAAATTGAAAGTTGATAAGTGAACCGATCGTCAAAGATTGTGGGAACCAGATGTTTTGGCCTGCTATCTGAGATGGAGGCACAGAGGTTTCACCTAACGGAGACTCAGGGCGAACACAAGCAACACAAAGAAGGTCAAGTGCGGAGATGGTATCTAGGAAACTGGGGAGAAAATGTAAAGGCGTCTGCAGTGGTGTGTTTAGCAGTTAGGCATCAGTATGTAAGACTGACTTATCGCTGTCAATGATGGTCAAGATGATTTGGTGTACTTTGGTTTACTCATCATGCTGATGCAGTAGATATCAACGCCTTAACACCTGTGCAGGTAAAAAACAGGTGTGTTGCTCAATAATGGCTAGTCGGCATACGTGCAATAACCAGAATGTACAAAAAACAGTGTACATAACCACGAAAAACCCAAGCCGGAATATGAGACATGGCACTCATATACATACCTTCAGGAAGTTCCGAAACTGCAGGTTCGAGGCAAGTCATATGAAATCCCCTGTCACAGGAGTCACACAACAGTAAATCTTTGTCAATGGTGAGGTCCGTATTTACCACTGAGGGGGCACGAGAATTGACTTGGCACAGACAACATCGTTTGCAGTCCACACATCGCCAACGAAGTTGTCTTATGCGTGCAACCAGCTCAGGAGGCATTTTCAGACAAGTTGGGTGACCTGAAGAAGGAGACCGGATACATTACCATGCTCTCACTACATGAAGTGAGTATCAACTGAGGTCCCAAAAAGATCCGCAAACACTGAGCATGAGATTCGTTAGAATATCAGATTATTTGACGATCTGGCCCAAGAATGTAAAAAAACATCTATGTTATTTCCATCGTCCAGATGATTCATAACGGTCACTATTCACTTTGTGTTCTACTAATACGGAGATGATGGGATTGATGCGATCATCAATGAAGACAGACTGCAGATTAACTGTCACACACAGAATACTCTAGAACAGGTAGAACAGCAATAAATCTACGGTTCAAGAGGATGAAGTACGGAGACAAAAACGACGGAGTGCCGAAATGCAACAATATCTGCTAACACAAGCTAGTGCTCGTGCAGAAGTATACAACACATACCTGACTGACCGCAAATCCAACAGGCAATTAGGTCCTCAGGGAAACCTGTCTGTTTGTTCAACTCGTAAGTCCCCAGGCAGAGGCCGCAAATGGGGATGACTTCCGCAGGTTTTCGCATCCTCTGAAAATAACAGTTGGTAAATTCGCTCAACACCGCAAAACAGACTGAAAAAATTCATAATTTAAGTTCTACACAAGTCTTACTGCGCTTAGTTACAGATATTGCGAGATATGAAAACTAACCGATACAAGTTGGGTTCGTGGTGTCAGGTTTTGTCCAGATCGCCTTTGCGTGTTTGGATAAGTACGCAGCTTGCAATAACCGTGACAGTCTAGCACAGTATCTGTTACCTGTCCGACCGCTTCTTCCGATGACCTTGTGAGATAAAATATGCAGCAGAAGCATCCGTTTCAGCACTGACCTGGTCTCTTATAAAGCCCGAGACTTGTATTTCTGTCGAGTACGATGCCTTTCGCCATGAACAAAATCAACCAAGGTATAACAATCTACAGTCGTTGGAACTAAACGCGAGTGATAACATCTGGATGAAACACACTTCGCCGCCCAGGGCACTACTAAGCCTTATGGCCCATAAGTCAGTAGTTCGTCCCCAAAAGCCTAAATTACTCCAGACTCGACTGACTGACCGTCATCTAAAAACAAGCCTATATCTAAGGCCCCAGCGAATGCAATTAAACTAAACAAAATGATAAATAAGAGCGTTTGTTCCAAGAAGTGACTACCGCCGTTCTTGAAGAAAAACCTTTGAATACATTATTTTTTCCTCAATATCAACTGGCCCTGGGATGTGCGAACAAAATGCTGCTCTCAATCACGGTGGACCTAGAATTTTCATACTGCCATTCGTTTCTCCACTCTAAGGAAAAAACCCAAGACAATTGCATGGAGTCCAGGGTTAAATATTTAAATAACTTGGACCCTTGGAAACAAGGATCCTTTTGCTATTCGATTACGGAGCACCAACGCGGTCAATACCTTCCGTTCTTGAATTAACTCATAAGTACATAACTGCGTATCCAAAACTGAAATCTTACTGTGGAATTCGTTGGATTGACAAATCTGGCTAATAATAGACCTCGCAATTATTGCCGGTAGCAGGACACAAGTAGCAGGTTATCAGATTTCAACGAAACAATTCAACAAATGAGTTCACGAAAAACTTTAAAGCCCAGCAACCATTTTCGATCGCTTCACGTAGTGAACTCGGAAGTTGGATGTTTCGTGCATGTAGAGCGGAGTTGTCTTCTCTGTCGGCATGTCTGGAAACTCAGGAAACGGGGTATCCTTATGGACTAAATACATATGAACCAAAAATGTACTGAACACTCAGCTCGAAACAGCTGTTGCACCTTAGAGAACCATTAAAACCTAGTATAGATCTGACGTACGGATGTGTCGACGACCGACCACGAGCAAATTCTAATGTATTTCTGGGAAACTTGATTTTTAATTACCTTTTTTGGTACTGCTTGTGTCTGATAGCAATACAACGTACACAAAGCCCGACGAATAACGCTCATTTTAATCAATCTCTCTCTGTATAATTACAAGTCGACGTACCACTTCCAGTGGTTACCTATTTCAGCAAGCATGTCATATTTAGTGTTGTACGAATACCCTGAATTACTGTTGAGTAGGAGGCATAATGTGCTAGCTCAGCCAACTTAGGTTCCACCAACGAAGTTCACACAGTGTATAATCCAGGGAGGCCAAAAATACGCCATCGTCATCATTGAAAGCAAAAACAGTGCTTCCTGAACCATCGGTTCAGAGCTTGGCCGGAATGCAGCGACATTATTCCGTTCCTTTTCGAAAAGACACGGTACAGCCGTTGTAATTTTCAAAATCGGGCACCAAAAAAGCGCACTTGGCTCGCCATCCCCTATGCCTCCGCTGGCTGATCTGGTTGGAAGGACTCGGAGGATTTTACGCAAGCATCCGCTAGTATAGCTCGCAGCACGGCGGAAAATGCGAGACCCTTCGATAAAAAGGATACGCCGCCGAATAACAAAAGTGTAAACGATGTGAAGTGCTTGAGATAAGTGATACATCGTCAAGAAACCACAAGTAGACAACGGTAGCGTTCATATTCCATCCCAAAGGTTGCCGGTAAAAACTATAGACAATTCACAAAAGCAGTATAATGTTCTTTCACACTTCAACGCAAAGTGCTCGCCGACACGAAACCCAAATCCGATCAACTGAGTTTGGTACTACTTAATAAAGCGCTTCAGAAGCATATTTCCACAGGTCGGACAGCATGCTGTTTTCTTTTATTTTGCTTACCCAGAGCACTTCGAGTAAAACTCTGTGCGTTTGTGATCACCATTGGCTGGAAACGGAAGGCTTTTGTCAGCAAGTGACAGTCCCATAGAGGATCAATTTACACATTCAGTTCAGCTGTAACACCCTTTCGGTGCCTAACTGGCATGCCACCAGAAGGAAGCACGAGGGCTGGGATACCGTCAGGTTGCCCAGTCCTAGACAGGGATGGCTTCTCATTGCTTTAAAAGTCACCTCTATAAACTTCGGACAAGTGCGTGAACGCTATCTTGACTGACTCATCCTAATTCGTTTTAAGGCATTCATCGGCCCGTTTTGGGAAATTGACGACTTTGCATGCACTGTGCTGGTGCGTCCCACGAATTCCCGGTCGAAGGAAGCACAGGGCTGGGATACCGTCAGGTTGCCCAGTCCTAGACAGGGATGGCTTCTCATTGCTTTAAAAGTCACCTCTATAAACTTCGGACAAGTGCGTGAACGCTATCTTGACTGACTCATCCTAATTCGTTTTAAGGCATTCATCGGCCCGTTTTGGGAAATTGACGACTTTGCATGCACTGTGCTGGTGCGTCCCACGAATTCCCGGTCGAGTGAAGACTACGACTACAAGTTAGCCGACCCAACACAGAAATCGCTCCCGAATTATGTAAGAATCAGGAACCATTGAATTGCTTCACCTCTCTCCCTTCTGTCTGCAAATGGTAACAATTTCCAGTACTCCAGAGGTACCCAGGACTGGCTTCGATTTCACCCTGCAGTTTCATGATCACAATCTCACTCGATTAAGGCCTCGTCGAGCGCACCGGTAACCTGATGGTATCTCAGTTGTCGGGATACTGTTGGATGGCGTGGCAGGTATGCCCCGAAAGGGTGGTGCAGCTGAAGTGTTTTGATACATCAGAAGTGCTGCTGGTATCAGCAGAAGTCGACACATTAGGAACAAGAAAATGGGTTGTGTAGTAGGCATTTTAGTTGCTAAAACCATCAAGCACCATCAGCTGCGGCTGCTCGGCGAAGTGTTGAGCATGAATACTAATCCTTAAAGGAAGTTCATGGCGGCAGTGAAGTCAAGATATCACTTACAAACTTACTAAATTAAGCGAAGCCGTTTAGGAGATCTGAGACGCTGCGATCGAAACCCTCATCTTGAAATTGAAACAATGAGGTGGTCCCATATCTGACATATATTCATTTGCACTTATTTACACCATATAACTTTTAGCTTATGGTATTGGCGCCCACTTATTGGACGAAAATCACTTAATTCCACCAAGCATGGGTGGAGTTATGATAAATAAGGGTGGTCCCACAAATCTGTAGCGCGGAATAGAAGCTTCGACACTTAAAGCTATTGGACTGGTGTAACGAGCCCTCTCCCTCGGGACCCTAAATATACAGCGGAACACCTCTACAAAGATCGCAGGCGGGATGGATTGCAACGGATCACTCTAGAGGAGGAGACATTGTGAGTATCATATACAAAAAGCATGCGCGAAAGTGTACACTAAGGCATTCCCACGCTTACAACTCCACATAATCATCTAGTGTGAATAGAAAAGCCATTGGTATCGGTTGCAGCCACGGTCTGCACTTCCAGTTGGGTATAAAGTAACTTGGATTTTCCGTAGTAGGTCGCACACAATTTCATTTTGCTGTTAAAGATCCGGTGCTGCATCTTGGATTGTTTGACCCGACCTCATGTCACATAAGTCGGTATGCGGTGAATGAACGAGCCGCTAAAGCCTGTGAACCTGATTCGTACTTTAACCGAGTCAGAATCTGCATCCACCCATTTTGGTGGGATACCACCTCCGCCAGTATTGGAGGTGGCCACGAGATCAAATGTTCTGATGTGTCTAATCTTCATCCAAGGGTAAGTTGTGTGGATAAGAGCGTAAAAACGGCCTACCACACAATTCCCGTAACCCAATGATACACTTGTATCACAATGGGAACACGGAGGCTCTGAGATTGACGTCCCATACTGCAGGCGGTTCCAAGGCAACCTTAACATGAGCAAACTGTTCTACTATATCAAGCAGGCTGAAGAGCACTTAGAAGATATGTTGGGTGGTAGTATCGCTTTTGCGCATCACATGAGGTTGGAAATATGTATCGCGAACTAACTGAACCAGCAAAGAATGTAAAATCATACCGGTTAGGGTAGATGACGGATCCTGGGGCACTACAAGGAATACGTCCTATGGGCTATACCGCGGAAGGACTCCCGTCTATTCATGTACGCGCTTTAATAACGCAACGACTTAATGATGAAACATGTGCTTTACAATCAGGCACAAGCAATGCGCTAAATTAAAAATATCGTACCAAGAGTTGGTCATTATTGAGAATACTGTGAATCAACGTACATCACGGCGCATCGGGCAAACACTAACCTTTCCGGTTACCGCACAAACACTGTTCAGCGCAGCAGGAAAAGAATGGCGTTCAGGGGACTTTGGGATGCTCCTTGCCTCACATTCTACAGACGTTATTGAGGGTCTATGGTGCCTGAGGTGCCACCTTCCTCTTTCAACCGAATCTTCCGGAAGTATTTTCGAAGATGTTTGAGCATTACCACCGAAGGTGTTGGCTTCGTGTTGAGTAGGGCTGAGCGTCATGATTTCCTGTTGATGTAACGACGTATCTATTGTCGAAAAGGCTGGAGATGGAAAATCACCACCAGAGCGACGACGCATTTTCCGTTCACCACAGGAAGTTCAGATATCTGGAGGAAATTCTCCCGCTTTGTAATTCAGAGGCTGTCGACGCTGCAAGCGGCAGTCACCAGAAGGGATGTCCTACGACACCAAATGCATCGAAAACTCGCTTTCACAAAATTTGAAACACGCGCTTTTCAACAGGCAAGATAAACAACACTTTCAGGTCGGATCGTAAGAAAATGTGGTTCCCAAAGCTTTCTTGCGGATGCAGTGAAGGAGTGGAGTCCCGTTGTCCAATGTGGTCCAAGAAATCTTAGCGTCCATAGCGAACGTGAATAGGCTGTGCCTCTGCAGCTTTCGGAACCATGGGATCTACAATAGTAGTTGTTCACAGAAGGCATATAAGTGTATATTAAGCCAGTAGCCAGTGATAGATATAGGAATACACATGTTTTTCGTGTTCTCTGATTTATACAGTATGACAATGGCTTAAATGTGAATTATCCGCGATAGCCCGGGCAGGATGCCTTGGTAACGATGTGTTCCAAATCCTGCTAGGTCAGGCACTCCACGGTCGGCCTACTGCTGTCAAAAAGGCGAAGGGATCACGGATTCACGGATTGATACACAGGATCCAGGCTTTTGCTTAAGCTTTGCGGATCGGTTTTGTTCTTGTTTTTCAGCGGCTGCCGCCCACCTGAAAGGCACAAGTGAAAAAAGGGTTTAGCACTGATGTTTATGTTCTCAGCGCGGGACAATATGCTTGCCAGTGCGAGGATTCGCATGAATAAATATCTAGTAGTGCTGTGAATTGGGATCTAGAAAGGGGCATGGGCAGACGTCGGAGGAAGTTCATTCCAAGCAGATAACACCCGAAATGATAAAAAATTTTGTCTAATGAATGTGTGCGCTCTGAGCTTGGAAATCTCCTTACCATGTTCCCGCCGTGTGTTTGTTGGGTTAACGGTGAAAAACCTGTTGGCCAAGCTTTGTTCAAACAGGGCATAAGTAAGAAGTAGGTCCCCTTGTAGGCGACGATACTCCAGGAAAAGAGGTCAAGCACCGCGAGACGCGTTTCCTAGTCCATGGATTTGAGGTCGGTTATCATTTTCTTAGAATCTCGCTGGACACACCCAGTGATGTTTATGGTTTCGTGCGTCCTGAGTAGACAACTTGGTTGGCATATTCAAGAAGCGGTCCTACATAAAACAAAGAAGGTGCGTCGAATCATTCGCGAAACGACGAATGCCTTTTGAGCTGATTTCTTATGGTGCAGTGGAAAGATATTTTTGAAGAGAGCCAGGTAATCAAATTCTTTTTGGCACCGTTCTTCGTGATGTCTTCCGGTCAATTCTCACCATGCACGACATAGGTGTCCGCTGAGCGTATATATTCATTTGGAGGGTGCTTGTACTAGAACGCTAGGATTTCAAACCGTCCGCAGAAGGTAGACTTGGACTTGCAAGAACATCTGGAATGTCGTTGACTTAGATCAGAAATGGCAGTGTTCCCAGGACGGAACCTTGAGGAGCTTCAATGGAGACTGGCGCTGAAAAGCATAGGTCGAGCTTATTCTCACTCGGAATGATCTGTCTGATAGGAACGCCTTGATCCGGTGAAGGATTTTTCCTTGAATCCCGTAAGTCTCGAGTTTGGGGAGCAGCGGGACGTGTGGGAATCGATAGAATGCTTTTGAGAAGTCGAAAATTATGGCATCCGATATGAGTCCCTCGTCCTTGGCTTGAATTAAGCTGCCCACAAACAAGAGCATGTTTGTCACGCAAGAACGGTTTGGGAGAAAACCGTGTTGAGCTGGAGATATCAAGTTGCTGGAAGCAGGGTGATCTAGATAGCCCGCTTCAGAAGGCGTCCCAACACCTTGCACGGCATTTTAGTGAGGCTTATAGGCCTGTAGCTGCTAGGCGATAGTCTGTTACCACTTTTGTAGACTGGCGTGACAATCGCTTCCTTTCAAGCAGAGGGAAGGCGGCCTTCGTCGAGCGACTGACGAAACACTAGGCATAAATGATTTGACGTGTAGACGACGCTTCCTTCAGGATCCTCGGACGAATCTCATCGGTCCCCAACGGGCAGAATGAATTGATCTTGTGCAAGGGTTGGCGGATTTCCTCCACCGTGAGGACCAAGTCGGTTGGAGGCTGTTCGTTGTTACGCCTTGACAAGAGTAGATGTGACGAAGACACATCTGTCTGAATATAGACCTGCGTAGTGTTTTCTCTAGCCCCCAGATACCACTGTTGGGTAACTTGTCGGTTTCTGTCCCTCAAGGAGGTCGCGGATGACCTGTTTCTTCGGCGCTGTCTCATGTATTTGAACAGCACGTTTTTGTTTTTCTGAGCGAGTTCCAGGATGGTGGCTCGTTTTCGTATGTTCCATTGGCAGATTTCTGATTTACAGCGGTTCCGCATTCTACGAAATACCAGCTCATCTTCTATATCCCCTGTAGTCGACATTTTGAAAAAAGTTGGGACCTCTTTTCCAGAAGTCGCCGAATCCGTTTTGGCAGCCTGTGGCTCATCCGACTGCGTGCTGTTTTTTATACGGACTTCGCGTCAGCCTCGTGAACTTTCTGGACAATCGTCCTATATAATTCTTCCACTGTAGGTGGTCTCAGTGTAACTTGTTCAAGAAGGATGCGCATTCCTGAGAAGCCTGCACGGCGGAAGTCCCGGAACCGCGTTTGATGTTCGGGACTACTGGCACAGTAGCACACAGTGGTCGCTATGTCCCAGTGGAGCGTTAATTATTGCCTGCTCAACGTAGTGTCTTTCGTTGGTGATGATCAGATCGAGGAGGGATGGTAGTTGGCCTGCACGGTATCTGGTGGGTGCAGCGACATGTTGAGTTCAAGCGCTCTGTTGAACGACTTCCATCAACACCGCTGCAAACAGTCCGCTTGATCTGACGCGCTGGGTCTCCATCCAGGGAGCCGGAGCGTTGAAGTCACCTACCAGCAGGATATCAGTGATATGGTAGTTGGAGGAGAGTTGTTCAAGGGTTCATACGAGGAATTAATCATCTTCAGGGGGACTGGATGGGCTACGGTAGACCACATCGAACGATGTTTAGGTGGCATGCTTCCTGCAGCCTAAGTGAACACTCCTCCCCCGACCACACCCGAATGAATGTTGTTTTACTCGTCATTTCCCTCAAGAGCTTCTACATTGACTAAAGTACATGAGGTGATCATGCTGATCCCTAAGGAACGTAACTAACTGTCAGCCCATCAGCTCCATCTTCGCCTGTTATGGAAATTATATAAAAATTTTCAGTACATTTCTGTACGATATTCTTACATTACATAAACTTCTTAATCAGGTACGGAATAATTTTGTCCTGAGGCATTCATAAATGAGTCATAGTAGACAATTTTCCAATACTGCACTAAATAGACCGGACTGGGACCGTTAGCCTTTTTCATTACTTTTCTAGGGCTTTAGACACTACCGTATAACATTTCTACGAGATATTGGGAAAGCTCCACGTTCAACACCCTTGTTTTCGCTTGCTGAATTCGTTTACAAATTTGCGCCTCTCATAAATAGAATAGATGCATCTCTCTTCCAGTTTTCCTCGCGAAACAGTGTTTATGTTTACCTTTTTATAATCTTATGTAATCACATCTCTGTCACCCTTCCGCCAGGTGTAAAGGATGCACTCTCTGCTGAAGAATACAAGCGTGAACAGACGATATGCCGATATTCCCCAAAGACTCTTTTCCAGTGACCGTGGGACAATTTTCTCCCTCTTAATCCCATCAAAGCTCTCCATGTCTCTATTCCAAACTGAATTTCTGCCCTCCTTCACACCACCCAAGTTCTATCCTTCTCCTACGGTAGAAGTGCGCAACAATTTTCATGCATGGATATTCCCAAGCCCTTCTCCGACTTCAGTGTGCCCACGTCCCCCTGGAAGGGTCAGCGGGGTATTTCGTCTGCGACATATTTCCTTCTTCACTAATTGGGGTAATTTCATCACTATTCGTTTCTCCGGCGTCCCCTGAAAACCTTGGTCAAACAGCAACGGAAATTCTCCCAAGATTTCTCGCTGTAAGTTCGACAAAACTGCAACATCACTTCACAGCATCTCGAAATATAGGCGACGTGGGGTGACGCAGGGCAAGGGTAAGGACAAATGATTGAAAGTGGCTGCCATTTCAAATGATTGGATGGACATTTTTCGTGAAATCTGCAATTCATCTGAGATTGTGTAAACTATGCCTGGTGGTGACGTCGTGGTAGGATTGCCCTATTCCCCTTCTATTTAGCGGCATCAGCTAGTAAGGCAGTGGTGAAGCAGTTGAAGGATATTTACTAGATTGTTTCGTTATCACTGTCTTCATGTCTTTATGTTTTTCCATTTTCCTGGTTCTCACCACCTTCCTTGCCGCCGACACCGTGCCTACCTGCGAGAGACCTCCAATACCCAATCGGGTAGATTCGAGGGCTTGAAACCGCTTCCAATAAAGGGTGTGGGAAAACCTCGCCATTCTGGAATCTCCAAAATATTCTCGCCCGTCTTTGTACACTCTATTTGTATTCATATCTCGTGTTGAAGAGAATGGACTAACAGGGTCGCTACACAGATGTTTAATTGTTGCTATAAAAATGCCTTATGTATGATAGCACAAAACCCTAGGTTGATATTTGCCCTCTTTGCAGACCCAAGATAGCAAGTATGATCAAAGCTGGTGCCCCTTCCCGTGTAGTCGTCCTGATGGTTTAAATACAGGGGAAGCCAAATGTTCACGCTCTGCCAGGCATGCAGCACTTTGTTAATTGTCGTGTTGTATGTAGGTGTTTTGGAGGGTCCTATATGGAACATTCTACAGGCCCTTCTGGTTGACAACCAGGCCGGCCTCACCACATACATCCCAAAGAGGTTTATTAAGGTAGCTGACTGGGTTATAACGAATTGAACCAAAGATAATCAGATAAAGTTTTAAAGCCAACTTACAAATGATGTTAAGCAGTTGAAAGGCGGGGACACAATGTCGGATGGAAAAGTTAACTGCT